TAGCTGCTGAAAGTTACAAATGTAATTATTAAAGTATATAATTCCTAGAACCATAAAAATTATTTTTTGCAACAAAGCAATGAAGTTATCATATAGACTTGAACAGAAACAATCATTCCCCCTATAGATGAGTCAAAGCATATTTTATACAATTCTACATACAAGAATACAGATTTACCTTTTTTTCTTCCCAAGCGCGATATCTGTCGCAATGTCTAAATTGTCTAAATCGTTTAAATCGTCTAAATCGTAGTTGATGCCCACACGATCTAGCATATCGTTGAACTCTTCACTGTTAACGCTCTCCATGTCTTCATCATCGTCTTCTTTCTTGATGTCCTTAGTCTCGCTCTCTTTCTTCCAAAATTTATGAAGGAACAACTCGTCAACTGGTATTCGCTCCTCCCTTTCGTTGAGATACGCTGCGCTATCGACAGGAAGGGAGCGTACACCCTTGGGTGTATATCCGGCGCGTATTGCCAAGGGATCATTTTTCTTCTGCACCTTCATATCTTCTGACTTCTTCGAGTTCTTAAAGACGTACCGATTCAAAAATCGAATCAACGTTAGATCCTCCAACGGATCGCCCGTGTACTCAATCGGTTTACCTGTAAACAAAAATTAATAAGTATTGCCAAATAATATTGTGCTGCATATAAAAGTAAAACTTTTACCTTGAATTATCCGATTTGCGAATATAGCAACACTGGGATGGAAATGTCTGGACAATGCTGCGAGCTCGGTGTACAACCCTTTGGCTACTCCCGCGTAGAGTGGATTCCGACAAAAGGGATCATACAACTTCACATTTTGCTCCTCAACTTTTACGTCGGTCTCTTCCTTCACATCGGCTTGCGTTCCTGACGCGATGTCAACGCCAATTGTTACGTTCGATAACATAATGGTGTTTTTCGTCGCTTTATTCTTATTTTTCATTGTAGAAACATCTTCCGCATCTGACGAGCTTACTTCACAAATGTCGTTTTCAACTTTTCCTTCACAATCGATATTCTCGATTTTATTCACATCTTTCTGTGACTTGAGCAGGATGTGCCTCAAGTCTTTGCGTTCTTGAAGAATTTTAGAGACAACATAGAGCATAGCACATGTCATATTTGCAGGGAAGTACAGTGTGATTTGCAAGATTCTTTTAATAAATGCGTATAGACGTAATACGCTTTGATCTTTCCGAAGAACTCGATATACCAAGTTGAGAAACATTGCGCGTTTATTTGCTACTCCTATTTGTGGGTCGAGTAACTTTCTGTAAAAAGTTGAATAAAATCTGTTTGCTTGAGACTCGTCCTTGCCTGTAATCTAAATATACAAATGCCCGTTAATATAATGTAAAAATGCAGTAAATATAAACGCTATTCTACAATACTTACTTGGTGCAATAAGGTAAGTGCATTAAGAGAGACATTAAACGACCCAAAATGCACCACTTCGTAAACAGAATCAATGTGTTTGCTCAGCACCTTTGAATCTACCTTAGCGAAAGAATATGTTCTATTAACACCCGTTAGAATTGCTGCCATCATTTTGCTGTCAGGTTCTCCCTTTTTCAAACATGCTTTGAAAAACGCAAAGTACGCTTCTACCAATGTAACAGCTATTTCGTCGTCGTTTCTGTCCAGAAAAAATTGTGTCAACACACATATAGCATAATATTGAGCACGTTGAGACACGTTTTTTCTAAACAATAGTTTCTCAACTTCACGCAAAACTACAAGCTTCATATTTGGATGCTCTTGCAATAACTTGTTGATGCAAACTACAGCTTTAGATCCAATTCTGCTAGTAGGATCGCCGATTTTATTCACAATCAACTCCAGTAACTTATGTTCTTGTTCAGCATTGTTCATCAACAAATCTGTCATTACCAATATGGCTTTTTCACGATTTATGTCTACTCTATCAATAGCTACTGCGGACAGACTTAAAACAAAGCGTTTATACTGCTCACGCAGTTGATCTTCAAAGTACCAATGTGCCAGTAATCTATTTCTAGCAGCATTTGTTTTAACAATAGAATTTGATTCATTTCCTACTTCAAGCTTATCTAGATCCTGTTCTTCAAATTTTAACAACTTAAAAGTTGGATGCAACAGATCAGTTAGAAAGAGTTCCTTGAGAGACGTTATGACCAAACCACACTGACTGTGTTTGGCCCCTTTTACTTGATAGACTAGAAATATTAGACGACTAAAATTATATTTCGGATTATCTTGCACCAGCACTATGTTGGCTGCTATTCTATCCAAAAAAGTACCCTGCTGCAATGCTGTCTTTAACCATTTTGTCTCTGAGTCATGTGACTTAAGATTGTTTCAACTGAAAACTGGCAGTCTCTGCATCCAGATATTTTTTTCCTTCGTCTTTTAGTTGTAACACACCAACTTCGGATAAAGAATGCTTGCAAGGTTCCTCTGTCTTCGAATATTCCTCGTACCATTTTTTCTCACCACTAGTGGTGGAATTATCATTGAATCTTTTCATTTCCTAATAATGTTTTTTTTTTTAATCTCACAGTAAAGCATCTAATACACTAAAATAAAAACGACAATTATTAAAAATAGATGTTTATATTCGTGATAAAATATTTTTATATCACAACTTATAATGATACTAACCTATACTCAATATATTTTGCTTAAACGTATTATAAAATTTACATGTTCTGCATACGCACACAATCAATTTATGTACATATTTAAAAAATCTTAAATACTGAATTTTCAATTCAAGTTCTCCTGAACCTGAACACATGCTCTCAAAAGCAAGTACGTTTCAGCGCAAAATATCTTTTTCACCCCCGAAAGCAGTTGAAAGTTCTCCGACTAGTTCCTATCGACAGCGAACGGCACAAAACGGCTGAAATAAAATCCGTCTAATCTCTCCGAAAAATCTTATAACGGTTGGAGCACCGCGTACGTTAATTCAAAATGTTCGTTACAGTCTATAGCCAATCGGAGCACGTAGTTGTTCCAACTACGTGCTCCGATTGGCTATAGACTGTAATTATTATTGTAATTGAGAAATACGAATAAAGCACTTACTTAACAAGACGACTTCACCACTTAATCCGACGACTCTAACTCGACCGATCTCCATCCCGGTTCCGAACAAAGTGTCTCTTTAGTTTTGGCTCCGGATAATCTTGCAGATCCTGAAGATTCCGGAACGATCTCGAATCTTCGCTGGATCCGGTGACGCGCGCATAAACCGATTGTTGCCATTGAACTATATACCATACTGGAACCACAGATGTCTATACTAGTACTAGATCGCTAACCATTGAGTAATGGCCGGAGCACAGACTTTTGCATAAAGCATAACGCATAAGCATAAGGAAATTGATTGGTCCATTTCCTTATGCATTTGCTTATGCTTATATATAGACCAATCAATTTCCTTATGCTTATGCGTTATGCTTTATGTAAAAGCTTGTGCTCTCGGCTTAAGGGTGCCGTCACATACAGCCCGTAATCCGTAATCCGCACCGGAAGTCCGCAAGAGTTACTAGGTATTTTGTCCGTAACGTTACGTGTATTTTTATCTCCTTGTGTCCCATGGAGCCGTAAATACAAACGTAACGATAGCACTATTTTTTATTTAACAGATTATAATTGTTGATTTGTATTTTATTCATAAGAAAACTACAGAATATATTATGATTTTAACAAAAGTTTTAATTAAATCGTCAAATTTAGTTAAATAAATAAAATTAGAAAAAGCATTACTGGTAATAACTAGTAACTTGTAGTAACTTTTACGGAAATTTCATGGAATTACGGCTTCATGGGACACAAAGAGATAAAAACACACGTAACGTTACGGACGCAATCCCTAGTAACTTTTGCGGACTTTCGGTGCGGATTACGGATTACGGGTTCTATGGGCGGTATTCATAGTCCGTTCTTATATTCAAGATCGTCTTAAGCACGAACTTATATTCGCTCTCTTCGTCAGACACAATCTATGTGTGACGAAGAGAGCGAATATAAGTCCGTGCTTAAGACGATTTTAAATATAAGAACGGACTATGAATACCGCCCTATGTGACGCCGGCCTTACATAAAGCATAACGCATAAGCATAAGGAAATTGATTGGTCTATATGGGTGCATCGTTTATGCAGCGGTTAGCGCATCCACTGCGTTTATCATCTGCTAGTCACGTTATCTAATTTACCGAACGCACACCTGCGTGAATGGCTGCGTGAATGGATTTAAAAGCATTGGCGAAGTTGCATTACGTTGTGTCTATACAAAATTTTGCGAAAATAATGAAGACGGGATCAAAACATTCTTAAATTGAGAGTTCTCTGATCCTTTTTCTATATCAGCTGTAGACGAAATCATTACATGGTTAGGAACTATTGCAGCAGAACCTGTACCTGAGATAAATTTACAAAAACAAATCCCAAAACATTACAAAATTTGTTTATAGAAAATTCAGACAGTTTAGAATTTTATAATGTGTTTAGATTTTCAATCTACATTTAATACGTGTGCATTTTTAGGTTAATTTGATTGTAAATACGAATATCGTAAACTTTAAAAAATTTTTCCATTATATAATACTTATCTTGGATTACTTTTACTTTTGCGGGATCGATTTCGAGGAGTTGTTCTACCCCTTTTTGATTTTTTATTTTAATAAAATCTATTTTCACATTTTAATTAATCAATGTGGATGCAGATAATTAAGCTAGATTCGCAATGGGTGTATTCGTTTACGCAGTACTGCAAGCAGAGCATCCAGAGCAGGACCTCCGAAGTACCTGCGCAGATGAGATACATCCCTGCGTAAACGAACGACAAACTGCGCTGCAGTTATTTTCGCAGGCGGAGTAAACGAACGACATCTGCGGCAGTAACTGCATAAACGAATGCACCCTATATAAGCATAAGCAAATGCATAAGGAAATGGACCAATCAATTTCCTTATGCTTATGCGTTATGCTTTATGCAAAAGTCTGTGCTCCGGCCATTATAACTGAACTAGTGCAGCTAGTTCATATAGCAGGTATTCATTTATCTATGTAAAAAACCGATTTTATACAGAACAGCTGTATTGAACAAATTTGAGCGTACGAGGAAAACAATAAAACATTTTGTTAATTAGTATTACTTCTATATCGATTTAATTTATTATATATTGTTAAACATGAGCAATAAGCAGAAAGTCCTTATTTGTGGGGATGTGCAAGGACATTTCAAGACCTTATTTTCTAAAGTAGAGGTTATTAATAAGAAAAATGGTCCATTCGATTTCTTGCTATGCATTGGCAATTTCTTTGGTGCCGATAACTCTGAGTTGGAATCTTATAAATCCAATGAGAAAACTATCTCGATTCCGACGTATTTTATCGGCCCTAATAGAGAGTCGGACTTGACGCACTATCCTGACGAGGATGGATACGAAATATGTCAGAATCTCACTTATCTTGGAAAGCGCGGCTTGTACACTGCCGGTTCTGGTCTCAAAATAGCATATCTTAGTGGTGTGGAGAAAACGTCAACTGAGAACAAAGCTATACACTTCAGCGAGAAAGATGTTTTGTCCATTAACAACACTTGTTTAAAAGGCCAACCCAGTTATCGTGGTGTAGATATCTTGTTAACATCTCCATGGCCTGATGGAGTAACTAATCTTGATACTAACAAGCCAAATTATAAATATCACGGTTCCAAATTAATTGCTTGGCTTGCTACTCACATTAAACCTAGATATCACGTATCGGCTTTGGAAGGAATTTATTATGAACGGCCACCGTATAGGTAAGTGCATTCTTCTTTTAATGATACTTTATATGCAAGCATAGTTTTAGAGAAATATTGAAAAAAAAGTACAAAATTATTCTCTGTATTTAGAATTTCTAACTATTTCAATATAGATTTGTAATATTTTAATATAAGAACTACTATTTTTTTAAAGCAATGCTAAAGATACTAATACTTTTGTCGAATCTGAATTTCATACAAATATATCTTTACAGAAATCAAAGTCAAAGTGATGAAAGTATGGAAATAGCAACTAGATTCATAGCTCTGGCGCCAGTAGTAAATGCTCATAAGAGGAAATGGTTATACGCATTGAATTTAACTCCTGTTGATAGAAGTAGACTGTCTGACCTAATTATGAAAACAACAGATGAGACACCAAGTCCATATCCCGAATTCATGTTGTCTGACGATCCAACATTGCAAAAGCAGACACATGTGCAATTTTTTTACAACATGGATTCGAGCGATAATACAAAGAGAAAACGGCATCAGAACGATGGTCTCAATAAAAAATCAAAGCTAGAATTTGATCAATCAAAATGCTGGTTTTGCTTATCCAGTCCGGTGGTGTCCAAGCATTTGGTGATATCTGTTGGCACTGAGATCTATTTGGCATTAGCAAAGGGTGGTCTTGTGGAGGATCATTTCTTAATTCTGCCAATAACACATCACCAGAGTTTATCGATTCTGCCACAAAATGTGAAGGAAGAAATGGATCTCTATAAGAAAGCCGTGGCCAGATACTATGAGAGCACTGACAGAGTACCCGTGTTCTTTGAGAGGAACTTTAAAAGCGCCCACTGTCAACTGCAAGCTGCACCAGTTCACAAAAATCAAGCACCTGCATTAAAGGAAATGTTTGAGGTATGTCTCTTAATTTTTTCTTTTTTATTTTACTCTAATGCTAACGTTACATACATATTTAGATGTGACTCACGAATCTCGTGAGAAACTTGTCCAATTGTTTAAAAAAAAATGAATCTATAAAAAATAAAGAGTTAATACTCAGAACTTGCAAGAGTCGCGCCTGAATAAATACGTGACATAATACATCTTTTATCGCAAACTTTGACTTTGGATGTCTAATATATGTGATTTTTGTTTTTAGGAATTAGCCGAATGTAACAATTTCAAAATATCAGAGCTACCGCAGCATACAGATTTACAACAGGTTGCAAAACCGGGTATTCTATATTTTTATGCAGAACTGCCGAATGGAACAATGTTGTATCATAGGATCAAAAATGACTTCCCGTTGCAATTCGGCCGAGAAGTATTAGCATCCGATAGGATCTTAGATATCAATGATAGGACCGACTGGAAGGATTGTCACATGAGTCAAGAGGAAGAGATGGAGATAGCAAAAAAAATTAGAAAACAATTTGCACCATTTGACATAGATACTTAAAAATTTGTATGACTTATTTTTAGAATTTAATGTATATACTTATCTATGTGTGAAACCTGATTATAATCAATATTTTGTAATTTATTTTTTACCTTAGTTTTTATATGTATCCAATATTTGAAATATGTACATAGCTTAGGAATACACAGATTTATGGCACAAAAACAGTGAAGAAATAAACTTCATATTAAAATTGATTATTTTAATTATATGATTATTATTTTATTATTATTTTATTATTTGATTCACCATTTGATTCCATTTTGCTGATGTTTCAATTCATGATCACTTGGAGTTGCTAATGGATTTAATCCACATTGTTTCATTTGAACTGCAATGTCGAGCAAGTAATCATAACATTCCGTCCTGTATAAAAAGAAGAAAACATTTTAACAATTAAGATAAAAAGAGAAATCAATTTAATTTTACAAAAATATTTGGTAATATGTGAGTGAAATGACATACATAGTTTTTGCCTGTTGCCAAGAATCACCCCACACATAAATTCCATGTCTGCGTACCAGTACTGCACAAGTTTCTGGATAGCGAACGATAGTTTTATCTAGCTCGTCTTTTAAATCTCTCTCAAAAGGAGTATTTTCTATAATCGGTATCACCAACTCCTCATCATAACGATAGGCTCTACCTTCTTTTTGATTCCATATACCTATAAAATATTTAACAAAATATTTTAAGTCATCTCCAAGACACAAAAATTAATTTAAAAAATTAATTGTATTCTTTTTTTATTAAATGACAATGTTCTCTCGTACTACTTTTTTTTAAATAAAGGATTCATCTTAAAGGTTAATTTAGTAAAACTACTTTGCATTGTTTTTATCAACATGTAAATTTTTAATACCTTTTATCATCTCAAGATGGGTGACTTTGACTTCTTTTTCAGGCCACAACAATGTTGCCATGACTGCAAATTTGGAATGTGTATGAATCACAGCACCTGCGTTTCTTCTTAAATAGGCACACATGAATAGTGGAGTACATTGTGATTTTTTCAATTTCTTTTCTGGTGGAGGCAACTCCAAATCTGTTCCATTGATATCTTGCACAAACATTTCATTAGGCATCATACGCTCTTTTTGTACACCAGAAGGAGCTATGTAAATTTTATCCCTAAAATTTTTATATTTTTAATATCTTTATAGAAATAATATTATTCTTTAAAACTAGAATTATTATTGTAAATACTAACTCATGTTTTATGGAGATGCCACCACCTGTACCAGTTACCCATCCAAGATGATAGAACTGTCTACATAATTCTGGAATAAGATTTCTTGGATGCTCCTGTAGAAAAAAAAAAATTGATGGAATGTTACTTGTTGCTGATTTTATTAAAATAAACCCATAAGTTTATAAATTTTAGAATTAAAATTTTGTAAAAATCAATTATGATATTACTTGATTATAATATATATGTGATTAGTATAGATTTTTTTAACAAGCTACTATCAGAAAATTATATATATTTTTATCAACTATAGTAAGTAAAAAACATTAATTAAATATGTTAAATAAAATACTTAAATATACTTCTTGTCATGCATACCTTGTCATAATTGGCATCATAAACTTCTAACATTTTTGCTGGTATAAATGTTCGAGATAAAGGCAACTCTTGGAATTGTCGAACTATCAAAATCATTATTACACACTACACATAAACAATATAATTGATAACAATGTTCACTGAATACAATAAATACATACCCATATTTACTACTTTTAGATACTAATTATGATATGTATTGTATATAAAAATATGTACAGATATACAAATTAGTGGCTTTTATGTCAGTACATAAAAATTTATGGTTACTCCATATTTCGAAAAGTATTGTAATTATGTAATTGCACGCAGTATTGTTGTGAATAAAAACATAGATAGATATTTACATTTTTATCAAACATAATCAGCTGAGTTATTTTGTTTCTGTACGAAAAACATTAAATATTTTTAGCCATCTTTCAGCCGTACTTTTTCCGTTTAAGTATATTTTACGTATTTTGTAATAAATAACAAAAATGTATTTTGCATAAGGGCATTCAATAAAGCAATTTATAAGATACGTCAAAGTTAATGTGTGTATCGAATTTCCTGTCAAAAAAATACGCCTGTTTCTTTAGCTATACTATTTTATACTTTCTTTCAGATAATTAACAAAGTTTATACAATTTTGCTAATGAATTTCATGAAAAACCACATAAACTTTATTTGTTACCTGATATATATGATACGTAGCAGATACACAGCTTAGAATCTTTGATAAAATTGTTTGAGTTTTCGAGATAAATCATATGATGGCGCTGTCATGTTGTGAAGGTTAATGGCCGGAGCACAGACTTTTGGCCGGAGCACAGACTTTTGCATAAAGCATAACGCATAAGCATAAGAAAATTGATTGGTCCATTTCCTTATGCATTTGCTTATGCTTATATATAGACCAATCAATTTCCTTATGCTTATGCGTTATGCTTTATGTAAAAGCTTGTGCTCTCGGCTTATGAGTTTTAATCGTCTCGAGTGAAAGAAGAGGCATATTTAAAGAGTCAGAATCGTTAAAAATTTTAGACTAAACTAATGTGAACGTGCATAATGCAATAATAGTTTTTTAGGCTTTCGTACAAATATGAAATAGATGTATAATGAATATCAAAATGTGTAGCAGATGAGAAGTAATTTCACCATGGCTACTTGGATCAGCATATCTTCAAAGTATGTGTGTAAAGTATTGTATCTATTATTAATATACAAAATTTTGTATATGATTGTAGTACGAAAAGATGATGACAATGAAATAAATTTGCAAGCTTCAAAAATAATGCTTTTATTTTATTATTTTTTGTACTACTATATTATATATATTTTTCTGATATCTTGTCATTCTGTTTTGCTAAATTCTTCATTTATTATTTAATATATAATTGTATTAAGCAATTTTAATATCTACTTGTGTTTTTCTCAATAGATTAGAGCAAGGTTTAAAAATAGTATCTTGCTTGGACAATAGCAAATTTCGACTTCTTGTCAATCGTATATGTCATAGTCTGCAATCTAACATCGATACAAAAGTATTCAATGAAGAGGAGGAAGAAAAGTTGCTGGTTTCTTTAGATTTGACAAAAGATGAATTAATTCTTTTACTGGATACTATTACATCAATTTATACACAAGCTGCGTGTAATATTATAAAACCATCTGTCATGGAGGCAGTTATGAAGGATAATTTTAAGATAGATGAAGAAAAAATATCAATCTTTACAAGTGCATGGGTGACTTATAGGAAAGACATCATAGAGAATCTTAGGCAAAAATCTATTTTTCCTATTCAGGTATTTTAACACATATATTAGGTGTAAGGGAAAATTCTGTTGTTTTCTAATACATACACTTCTAAAAACTTGTTTTCTCTTGTTTATTAAAAAAAGGAAAAAGTGACAGAATTTTCCCTTAATCCAATAGATAGAGAGAAATAGTTGATTGCAGTTAATACTAATTTACATTAACCTTAATAAGTTAAAAAAGAATTAATCAGATATTTCTTTTTCAAGCTGAAAGATATTAACTGGCACCTCAATGTCCAATCATCATCTTCTACAATTTCAAAGGATGCACGACCTACTGCATTGCTCCAATTAAGTCTAACTGGTGATCAGACATCTACTTTGACAATGGAGTTCGACAAAAAACAATTGACAGATCTCTATTGTAACTTGGAAAAAATTCAAACTCAGCTAGATGCTCTTAAATAGATTAAGGTCTACAGTAAACATATGTATATAAATCCATCTATATACTTTCCTCTAAATAAAAAATAAAGTATTTAATTATATATAACTAACATGCATAAGCGTGTTTCATTATTAAATATTATTGATTTTTTTTCAATTAGAGCAAGATAATAGAAAAACACACATATAAATTTACCTTAAATATTTATTTACATAATTTCAAAGCTTATACAACTTTATTTGAAGTTCTATATTTATTATTATATAAAATTATAATCTAAGTTTATAACTTTTAATTTAATATTAATTATTACGTATAATAATATATATAATACAGAATTTTCATTGATTTATTAAGGGGTCGTGTGATAAATTGATTAACTGAGGCTCTGTTGAAGTCACCATACGTTCACATGAAGCTGATGATCTAAAATTTATCATTTTGAATAAAAACGTCTTTTTAAAGTATCAGATATATAAATACACTTACGTGTCCTTTAGGAGATGCAAAACTTGTTTATGTTCTATTCCTTCCAGCCATAGATTCAATAGCTCTTCTCGTTTACACCTCAGCAACTGTTTACAGACATTCAAATTCTCTTTCACGGCATGAATTTTCTCTCGTGATGATGTGACTTTTTCTGACAGTGCACTAAATATCTGAAACAATTATATAATGTAGTACAAGATATACAATAATGAATATGTTTCTATATTAATTATCTTCAAATGTGCCTGTGTATATTTACTTGCATAATTTCCATGAGATCTTGATCATGTGAGGAAACTAATTCCTCCAGTCGTTGATCACTGCGTTTATACTCTTTTTCCAACTTAGCCTTCTCAATCTCTCGTTGCTCGTTTGTTTCACTTGCTGATAGAGCACGTATCACGGAGATCAACAAACCACTCTATAAAATATAAATATCTTATTGTAACAAAATATAAGACGTCATTTTAACTAAAATTTACTTGCCGTTTCTTTTGTCGGTTTAATACCCCGCGGTGGTTTGATAGGAGGCATCGTATTCATATTATAATTGTGAGCAATTAGAAAGTATTGATAATTATTAGCACACTTTTGTATTAAACTGCCTGTTTTGTTTTATCATATATTTAATTAAATCGTTAGCATTATTTAGAAATTTATTAAATTCTATCAATAATAAAACAGTTGGCGTTAATTAGAATCAATCTCTAGTCGACTTAATTCTCTTTTCTATTTATATTATGCGTAATATAGAACGTCAAATTTCACACCAATATGTTTAAATTACAAATCTTCACCGTTTTTTATAGGTTAAGTATTTGTCAGATACTGGTAGACACACTGATACACTGATAGCACAGCCAGTGCGGCCAGATTTGAAATGCAAGAAGCAAACAGCATGAATTTTATTTTATCCAAGACTCAAACAATTTTAGCCAAAATTCAAACTATTTTATCTACGATTCAAACCATTTAAAGCGAATTCGCAAATGGTGAATCGCAAATGAAATTTTTAAAATTATATGTACAAAATATTTATTTTTGTAATATATTTAACATTTACTTTATATTTAAGAAAAAATTTTTTATTTTTACGAATATATTTATCGTAAGAGAATGCTCTACAAAATTCTATAAAAAGTTTAATCAGGACCCAACAAAAGTGACTTATTAACAATACAAAATAATAAGAAAAATAGATAAAAGCTAATTGAAACGTATTATTGACTCGAAACAAGAAGCTTTAATATTCGACAGAGCGTGTAATCAATTTATAAGCTTTATGCATCAAAAAAATATATTTAAAAATTTTGTTGAATGATTTTGGAAATTAGCAGTTTAAATATAAATTAACAAATTAAAAGCAATTTTGATAATTTTATTTCTTACATTGTTTAGATATCACAGAGAATAAATTTTTATATAAATTAGATGTAAATTCTTATTATATAATATTTCAGTTCTCCGTTGTAATAGAACAATTTGTTGCAAATGTGCGAAAGAAATATCGATGATGTGTCAATTATGAAAGAAATAAAAGGATTTTATAAAAAGTAGAGTTTAGTATGTGCTCACTATTTTTCCTACACCTCTTATTTACTCGATGAATGAGCTAGTTTACATTATATCGATCGTTTTTATACGTGCTCCAAGTACTATACTTGTATTTAATTAGTTTAATCCGAACGATGTACAACATAATGCGAATAAATCATATGGTGTAGACTGACAATGAGTCAATGATTACGTTCAGTAAACTTAAGTAAATTCAGTAAATTTAAGTTAATTTTAATCGATGACTTCAAATACGAGAAGTGGAAACTAACACTCATCATCTGAAAGTTGATTTTTTATTTATATAATTTAAATCTACTTTTCCCTTTTCGCTATCTTTCAACTCGCTGCAATTAGTTGTAGTTAATTTGAATTACTGATATTTCACAAACAAATACAAAAATGACACAAGATATCTGTTATTAAATGGAAAGCACTTACAGTCATTTGCAATTAATTATAATACTTTTTCATGAACAATTATACCAATCACAGGCAATTATTATTCAACAATTATAACAGTACACCATTATCTAAACGTAATCATAATATCCTGATATATTTATTTCAGGTTTTGTACTACGCACGCACGCGTATATGTTGTGTGTAACCGTTATAAATATTAATTATATATAATCATATATGCACAGTTTATCTGTTTCAAATTTTTAATTATAGAGCTATTTTATAAGAATTTGTTCTCTCGTAATACTATTAAAAAAATAGTTGCTCAATTCACTATAATAGCAATATTAAATATATTTCTCTTGATCCTATAAATTTGCAAATAAAGAAAAATAACGGAAAGCCCAAGTTGCATATTGCATGAAACGTACACTATGCTAATAATAGTTATCCTACAATAAAGCATAAGATATATAGAACGTAAATGTTAAATTAGCTATGTGTGAATATACTTGTGAGAAAAATGATACAATAATACATAAAAGAAAAAAAACATCTGCCATTATTCGCATCAAGATAAAAATATTGAATCCTATAGATTGTTTAGGAATGTACCCTGTGAATAAAACAATTATATGTACTTGATTATTTGTGACAGAAAATAACTATTCCTTTTAGAATGGTAGAATGTACTTCAAGAAAGAGGAAGAAATGAGATTTGCCTAACTTTACATTTGCGGTAACTGATCGATGGGTGTGGCGAATTTAAAGTCTTCCGGAAAGAGTTTGCCTGCATGCGGATACATTAATTTGTAAGACTGTCGAATCGTGACATCTGCGACACCGGCGATATCTCCAATCTCTTTTTGTGATCTTTTGTCCTCAGACGCCTGCAAGACAGATATTATGAAAATAGAATCTGTCAATGTATGTTATTATAAAATGTAATCAATGTGAAGTTAGACATACTTGGGACGCCATATATATGGCTGCAGCAGCAACTGAAATCGGCGATCTTCCAGGTACGATATCGATGTCCACTGCTTTTCTAGCAATGTGCGTAGCAGCTCTCTGTACCATGTTGGGAAGACCAAGAGTGGAGCAAAATCTGGACATAAAGTCGCCTGTGGTGATAAGATCCACGCTAGTTTCCAGGGCTTTGAGAATTAATTTGAAGCATCGGCCGATTTCTTTTTTGCTTATCTTGCTGACGGCGCAAATTTCCTTAAATGTGCGCGGTACACCCTCCTGCCGACAAGCGATGTACAAACACGCGGAAGCAATCGCGTCGTTTGAGCGACCTTTCAAGTTTTTGCCATCATGCACTTGTTTGAACAATGTGTTGGCTCTGTCCACTATGGTTTTAGGCAAATTGATACGATCTGCCATACCATTGATTTCACGAAATGCGTTTAGTAAAGCTCTGTCAGAACTACTCATCTAAAAAAAAAATATATATATATAAATATTATATTTGATAATACAAATTAATAAACATTAATATTTATTAATGTATTGAAAAATAATATATATATTTGCTTAACGATACTGCGTTACACAAAGTATTGAGAAAAAAAGATACTAACTGTACGCCGATTTTGATATTTAGCGGTGCCGAATCCATCGAAAGACGCAGCACCCGTTCCTGGCCCGATCATAGTGGACAAGTCAGCACCGTTGAGGAGCGGATTTTCAGGTCCGCCGACACGTGACGGATCTATTCCTGATTTTTCATTGCTAAATGTTCTCCATTCTGAACCTACATCTATCACCCTGCAGTGGAAAAAATAAATACGTAAGTATCAAATTTGTTGCAACTACTTTTATATTCTCAAATATTCAACGAGTATGCATTAACAGTCACAAGAGTTTTAATTAGTCATATGCAAAGTTACCAGATTTGAAATTAATGTACACTGAGTGATTTGTTTTAATCTTAACAGACAAATGCTTCAAAAATACAATACAATTTTTAAAAAATTTATTAAATAAAAGTGGTTAAATTTTGAGATAAATACATATGTATCAGATATTTTAATTCTTATCAATAATAAACAAAAAATATATCTTGTATACTAATAAATTTTTCATTTCTCATATGATTTAGAGTTAACACTCTTTGTCAATAAATGTGGTAATTTTTGTTTATTAACAAGAATCCAAAATCAAGAATAAAACGTTTGGAAGTAATATACCTATATTTAAAAACTCTGTGCACTGCTAATTGTGAATTAAATTCTTGTTCATTCTATTAACAATTGTTATTTTATGCTTACTCATAATTTTATATTTTTATTTGTGGCTCTTCTTACCTGTCTCCAACAACTAATCCGCATTCTGAACAAATCTGATCTCCTGCTCTGTAGTCTTCAATAAGTGTCGCATCTGGATGCGCATAACAACAAATCTTGTTTGAATTTCTATAAAAAAACAACATTAAAAATAAACATTCTTTTCACTATTGTAAATGTTACATGTCATGTTAGTTAAGATTATTCAAATGCAAATTTATCAATGCAAATAAATATACTTTATCATTTCAAGAAAATGATGCTAATGTTACAAGCAACCCAATATTCTAACCAAATTTCTAATAACCAATAGTATATCGATATGTTATATAACTTCTCAATTATGTGGATAGATTTATCATCTTTACGAAAGATTTATTTCACAACACACGATCTTATTAATGTAAAAATGCGCCTTATATATAAATAAAATAGTACAACTATATTCCTTTAATCCTTATTTTAGATGTAACATCGGTAATACTTATAATGTTCGTGACGATTGTTATAGTTTCAATAATTAACTGCTACAAAAAAAAAAAATAATATGAAAATTTTGCGAAATTTACCGTGACGAACTTGCCATATTTTCACATACGTGTGTCACTAACTGCTAAGCACTGTTAGTATTTTCCGTACTTTCACTGATTATCATAGCATATGACAGAGCTCACAAGCTCCTTCCTGTATTTGGCATCGAACTAAGGGTACATCCAGAAAACTCGCAAAGACGCCTAAGTATATGCATAAGGAAATGAACCAATCAATTGTCTAATATGAATGATGGCGTTCTTTATGCTAGACACATGATTGGTCCATTTCTTTAAGCATATGCTTATGCGCTTATGCACGTTCGGCTGGATATACCCTAAGAGTAGATAGTTTATCCAGCCGTAGATAGATGGCAGTAGTGATAAATTCTAGGAGTACAATATGCAGCAATGTGTTATAATGGTTATAACGGCACAACTCCTTGTCGGCACTTGATACATGTGGTTATGCTTGTTTTGTAAACATCAATGGAAAGAGAAATAAGAATAGCATGATTAGCGGTCCGTATCTATCTATTTTTCTTGTAATAATGTCCGCTAACAATATATTTATTGTGGATAAACATACAACATGTAAACACGGTGACTTTCTTTTTCGACATTGATAGTTTTGAATGAAAGTTTTGCACTGTCCCCGCATAAGGTCCCTAATATTTACTTCGTATTCTGCTCGTTGCTTCTTGTCATATGCAATCGTATGACACTTTCATTTTTGTATACTTTTAATCGTTTCTTTTAATGTAATTGTTGATGCAAGACTGTGTCATGTACAATGCTTTTGCTTCGACTGCACTTGTGATTATGTTTTATTCCAAAATAAACGTAATAATAGCTATTTTGGGAGCTGTGTATATATACATTTGTGTATATATACATTTCCAAAATAGTTACTATTGCATATATATACTTATGTATATGTATGTATGATACTTAATTATATCATTTCACATCTTATATTTAAGAAATTTTTGAATCAAAGATTTTTATTGATATCGAATATTTTTATTGTTTTACACATATAATAGATCAAATTAATAATTGAAAATGACTAAAAATCAATAAATAACATAGTTATGATGTGTATAAAAACTATAATCTACAAGCAGAGCTGGGCAAAAAGTATTTGAAATACAAAATACTGTCAATCTTAGTATTTTGATAGAAGATTGAGTATTTTATATTTTATATTTCAAATACTTAATGATGTATTTGGCTCAGTCCTAACTAAGATTGACAGTATTTTGTATTTGTATTTCAAATACTTAATGATGTATTTTGCCCAGCCTTATCCACAAGTTATTGTTTTTAATTTAAGTATTTACTTTTAATTTACTTCCAAAATCTATAAAGTATATTTACATATTTTTCACGAGATACTGTTTTGATCAATAAGAAAATCCTTGCAAGTTGTTTTTTTGGAAAATTTTTATATGGCATATCTTCTAAAATTTAATACAGATTTCTAATTTGTTGGTTGCCATCTATTTGAAATTATTATAAATAAGTCATTTATTCTAAATTATTCTAAAAATGTTAATTCTAAATGACAACAATCTATTAGCTGCCATTCATTCTAAATGACGACTGTTAGTTGAGATAACAGTGAAGATAACATTATCAAGAGATTAGACAATCAACACATTGATTTAACCAGAAAGAATAGTATCATTATCAAAACCAGGGACTATTTTTTTTCTTAAATAGATTATCATGGCCCTGTGTGCTTTCCGGTGATATCTACACAGGAAATATTGCACAGTGCATTATTAAGGAACTGAAGCACAATGGAATGCGGCAATAGTATGTCAGAAGGTACAGAAATGGCAAGCAGTGTGGAGGCAAGGCCTTTTAATACATTGGCAGAATTATATGATGCTTTGGACAATAGATTAGTAGAATTGCCATTAGTGTACAACAAAGAGTTAGTAGATTATGTATATCGCGGTTCAGAAATTAATACACAAAAGATTTCATTGGAAAAAGTGTACAAAGATGAACAACCCAGAACATTAATATGCCATGATATGAAAGGCGGTTATCTTGAAGACAGGTAATTTTGTAAATTTTAAATTGAAAGATATATCTTTAAATTAAAATAAATATATTTGTAGTTGATTGCTGTTCCGTTTGTTATCTTAAAATATTAATTTTCTTTTATAGTGCATCTTATTTTTTCTTAAGATTTTTTTAAGCTGGTGCATTTATTTACTAAGGTGATCTGTTTATAGTTTAAATGCTGTAATAATTATTAAGGAAAAGTAATCTTATAAGTGTGATCAAAATTGTTATTTCCTTTAAAATCTTAATGTGATATGCATTCTTTGAAACTAGATTTGGATTCAAAGCACAAAAGATTGTGAAAATTGTATTTTTTTTTTCAAACAAAAAAGAATATAGGTCTAATTTTGTCAGTGTTATATTTATGTTATTATTATTATCTTTTATTATATATTTTTACAGATTTATAGGGGGTTCTACATCTCACGAATCTTATGTATTTTATCACTGGAGTGTTGTGGATACATTTGTTTACTTTAGCCACCACTTTGTGACTATTCCACCTTGCGGATGGATTAACGCAGCTCACCGGCATGGTGTAAAAGTATTGGGTACTGTGATTACAGAAGGAAACAATGACACTTGGGACACAATTCTTATGTCCCAAGAGAATGCAAGAAAATTTGCGAACGCTCTAATAAAGATTGCCAAGTATTACCAGTTTGAAGGTTGGCTTTTGAACATCGAAAATAAGATTAAACAGACGGATATAGATAATTTGATTTACTTCGTTAAATATTTAACTGAGAATATTCACAAGGAGATTGAAGACTCTGAGATTATCTGGTATGATAGTGTGACTAATAAGGGCGAACTAAATTGGCAAAACGAACTCAATAACAATAACAAGTAATTTTATTTTATTTTTTAGCATTTTATCTGCTATTTCTGTCTCACAATCCTTTTGATACATGATTATTTTGATTTTAGAGATTTTTTTTTGCATTGCGATGGTATATTTTTAAATTATAATTGGACGGAATCACGACTCAGTAATAGTTGCATATGTGCAAGAGAATTAAATCGCGATATCAAAGATATTTACGTAGGATTGGATGTGTGGGGAAGAGGATGTCCAGGTGGAGGCGGATTTAACTCTGCATATGTAATTACCTTATTGTTTGATGATTAATTTATTACAGTATTACAAAATCGAATTAACCTATAATAAAAGTAATTTTTTTATTATTATAGGCGTTGGATTTGATACGAAAGAAGGATCTTTCTGTAGCTATCTTTGCACCGGGTTGGACACACGAGTACTTTGGTCCACGTACTTTTCAGGTGCTAGAAGATTTATTTTGGGCTCAACTATTCCCATACTTATACGTACATGTGCCTATTTACGAAAACGAAACATTTAAAAGTTCTTTTTGTCGAGGCTCTGGTATCTGTTATTATTATAACGGCGAGGTAATATAAAATAACAAATAAAGAATTTAAAACATCTTAAGATATTTTTAATAAATATTTAAGATATTTTTAACTAACTTAAAATTAATATCACAAATATAATTTACACAATTTCATAAAAGATGTACATATTTGTATTACTCACAGGAACATTTCGAACCGTACATGATAAATGGTGAAAGCATTCGTGGAAAGAAAACATTTTATAATTTGCGAATACAGCAACCGCAGCTCTCAGTTCCCGTGCCACATCTGCAATTTACGCGATCCATAGAACGAACTCTTCCCGAAGCCGATAATGATAATAATGATAAAGATGATAAAAAAGAGGATGTTAAGAAGCCACGGATAGAAAAGATTTACGAAAATAGTAAGAACATTGTACGAATTTGTGGCAATATCGTCAATTTCGAAAACAAATTGCCCAATTCCTACATTAATACTTTTGAATTCTGCGATCGATTTTCTTACAAAGGCGGCGGATGCTTGAAATTGATCACCAGAAATCACAGATTGTATCATAGGTGAGAACATATTTCTTAGATAAAATAATATTTATAATGTTAAATTATAAAATATATTATTCAATGACTGGTTATCACAAATTTTGTAAATTGTTGCAGATTATTTTTGATTCACATGAATTTGGAACAAGACATTCAAGCGATTGTCATTTACGCAGAAACCGAGACTGGTGTCTTGCTGAATACATTTCGTGAGGATCCTATTCTGATTTTGGGTAACGAAAGCGGCTTAAAATCGATTCTACCTTACAATTCCATTAGAATGGATGCCAAATGGAGGAAATGGTAAATTTAACGAATCACTAATAAATTAATATTGATGATCGATGGCTTTTACAATAGACATTTTTTACAGCACTTATTTGACGAACTTGAGGACCGTGAATGAGATTGGTGTGGCCTTCCTAAGAGAGTGCGATTGCTATCTGGGTGAGATTGTTTTGGAGAAGAAGGATCAGCAGTTTGGTGAGTAGAAAAAATCTATAATCGATTTTTTTAGTTTAAAAATTCGTGCGATAACGAGACTGTCGTGCATAGCAAACGGATTATTTCACGATAAAAATATGTTACAAGACTCAACGATTTATCTAAAAAGAGCTGTGACTTTGCACGCAACGCGGCATACGCAAATCGTGTTAAGAAGGAAAGTTTCAGTGTTGGATGACTAATAGAGAGAAAAGTAAAATCCATTGATCATCACCACTGCTCTCATCAGCATTTGCTTTTGCGATTAAGCTCGGAAAAATGACGTGACTAATCACGGTGCGAGACTTTCGCCACATTGATTGCGATTTTGTATATACATCTGGAGATGTCTCATCTCGGACAGGTGAATCTAACCCGAAGACAATTTGTAGATCTAACGATGTCGGTAATAGGTATTTCAAGGCCTAGCTTCTCTTCTCTTGCATTTCTTCGCTGCCGTTTTAGAAAGGCAGCGGAGAAATCTCTAGAAGCGTGTACAAAGACTTCAAAGCATTTCGTGTGCGATGCAGTGTGAGATCAGTGGCGTACTATGCTAACAGATTTATTTTATTTATAGTCTTATTTATTCATCCGACTTCTCGTGCCGATTCTCTGAATACGCGCGTATGATACGTGACCGACACGAATGTGTGCACAACTAATGGAGTGAAATTTCAGAAATGCGCTTCCAACGTCGAAGCTTGTTTGTGCCGCTGCACATACAAATTATACATTTCTATCTTTTTTATAATTCTAAGACACCTTATAATTTATAATCAAATAAGCACAACATCGTGTGTTAAAGCATTTATGATAGCAGTTTATCGCGTGAGACTTTGACCATTTTCCGTAATAGAATGTTCGTTTATTCGTGTCATTATATAGAACTATCCAAATTAGCATAGATGGATTGATAATCACGTGGAGCGATAAATTGTTCATTGCATTGATTATCGTTGAGTCGATGAGTTGATATTAGAAAGTCGGAAGTGACCGCAGCATTAAAATGGATGACGATTTTATTAACCGCGGTGTGAATGCCATCGTTAAAATTCCAGGCTGACATAATTTAAACTGCATCTCTTACTCTGACGCAAGCGTATTCTTCACACGAGAAATTAGTTTTATCGGTGCGAAACCGCGAAATTTTACTTCTAACATCAAGTACGCATAGAAAGAAACAATGCAGCTGCGCACATAATTGCGCAAAAGTAAAAGTTTTCAACCCACTTGATACTCGTAAACATAACGCACAAATTTAATTTCTTTTTCCAAAGAATATATATTTATTGTTTTTTATGAATCTTGATTTTTTTTTTAACGCAATATCGCATCTTTCCTACGCATTCAAACTTCAATCTTCTGTCATTAAAAATGAAAGACATATTGCTATTTAATATAAACAATTTAAATTTGACATAAATTATGTAAAACGAAATGAAATTATTCTTTTCATTAAAATTCATGATTTTGGATTGCGATTAACATAATTCACGAATTGAGATTCTAAATTTTTTTTTCCTTTTTTTCCGCGCACACATCACACACGTCCCGTTCATTTTAACGGTCTTCATGCAACACTGTATACAAGTTCTTACACCGTACGTAGTATGTGCTTGTATAGAGGTAATGGCCGGGCACGATGCGGCACGGCACGATGCATGCAATCAGGATCAGACATTTTCAACGACATATATTTACGAAGAGGATATTATAAAGAAGCACGCACGATTAACTTTTCAGTACGTTAGGCCACGCTCAGCTACACGCCGCGATATGCACCGCAGAATGCGCAATATATCTGAAAGATAACAGCATTTTTTTTATTTCTGATGACACTAATAACAATTAGTGGTGTTTTAAAGCATATTTATTTTAACTTTAGATAAGAACAATTCTTTAAGTTTCAAAACGCCATTGTCAACGAATGCTTATATAAAAGAATGAAGAAAAAAATTAGTTCCGTTAATTTTCAGATATATTACGCAGTTACGTATACATTAGTGAGAACACGCGAAGAAAATGCATTTCTAACACTTGACTCTTGTACTGCGCTTTTCAAAAAGTAATTATAATTTTTATTTTGACTAGAAAAGTTAAAAGTGTACAAGAACGTACAGGATGAGTTGTTCATTAATATTGATTTTACAAACTTCAGGCGGAAATAATTAAGATAAGAGTTACAATTTCATCTCGTTTCAATTATATTCAAGAAAACTATAAAACTCTAATTTTCATCCATTATTTATTTTTCCAAAGATATTGAAACCAATTTCATTTTTTTTTTTTTTTTTTAAATTGTATTCTTTCTTTTATTCGTAATCGTATTATTCCGCGCGCTCAATGCAATCTGGGACCTGCCCAGATTTTTTTCGCACATCACGCGCGCACACGTCCACTGAACCACCTATATACATACTGAAGTACGTCTTTTCATACAAACCACGTATAAAGGTCCTCGTGGCGAGGTCCAGCGAAGAAGTTCTTCCTCTGTTTCTTTCTTTTGCAGGCACGTTGGAACCTTCCATCTATGATGGTATAATTATCATCAAAAGTTTAGTTCGCGCCGCTACTGGCTATTGAACTACATGGAATAGCCGACGGAGATTGAATTTTTGATGGTGATTGTACCATCAAAGAGGGTGGGGTTACAACAGAAGGAGATAGAGGAACGAGAATACTTTCTTCGTAGGCCTCTGCTTCGTGAGCGCTCCGTACGTTCAAGTACAGGCATACATTCCAGTACATACATTCCAGTATGTATATAGTTCACCGCGCACGTTGTATATACTGCTGGATTCGTGGCTGCTGCGCTGCGCGTAAAAAAAAAAGCGATTTTAATAGTAATATTATTTTCCAATATTGAAATTGGTGTCAATTTCGAATTGATCGAAATCAAAAGCTCGAATCGACGTTATATAAAAGAAATGTCTCTTTAGATTTTTCACTACGATGTCAATAGAAAATACAAATACGATATGAAATGTAGCAAACAAGCTATTCGTATTGCCGTGATTTAAATATAGGCACACGGCCAGTCTTTGTGTATTTAACATCGCGATGCTGCTGTATTGCTTGATCTAGAACAGGATTATACAATGGGGTTATTCACTGGGCAATATTGCGAGCAATCATAAACAGTATTTGTGCTGCAGACAGCAATTTCTGTATTACTCGCTTGCTAAGAGTCAAAAGAGAGCTACGATATCAGCTTTTCAATGCGAAGATATGAAAACAGTAGAAGAATATGAGAGTGATAAGAGATTAAAAAGGAAAATTAATTAGTTAGAAAAGGGCTGAAAATAAAGTGCTCGTCGCGTAAATTCCTTAATTTATACGATTTGTTGAATTATATATTTATATGGATAATCGATTTATAACATTTAAAATACTAAATCGCCTTTCTCTTTTTTGAAGTTAAAGTATTTACTCGAAGTTTACGTAAAAATAGAAAGAAAAATGTATAGAAAGTATGAGAAAAATATGAAAAATTAAATCTACACATAATTATTACGAATATAGAATGTCTAAGATGTAAAAAATATAATTTTCGCTTTTTTCTGAAAGCGCTTGTTTCAGTTTTATTCATATAATTTATTATTTTATTGTTATACTTCTCTCATAATTGCGCCGCGTTAATCTTACATCAACGGAATTTGCAATAAAAAGATAGTTTTAGACTTGATCTGGAGTAACCTCGCTATGCTCGGCAAATTTCAACGCATACGCGCGCAAAGGCAAGAATAACAGCACTTTTAATACACGCTTTGAGATTAAGAAACCATGAGAAAAAGAAAGAGAAGATAAAACAAGGATATATTATACCCAATTGCGGAAAATGAATCGCAAAATTGAAAACGTTTTCCACCATTTTTTTCATGCGAAATGTATGTGATTTTGTGTATTCATATTTAACCGAATCAATTCATCTACGAAGTAAGAATCGGACTGAATAAACAATAAACGAATAATATAACGCTTCTGTGTCGCGTAAATTTATCTCAATAATCAAAACCGCTTTGTAAACGATTAGTGAATTGCTGCAATAATCTTAATTTTCTAGAAAGCCATAAGAATGTGATTAAATCTTACGCGAAAACTGAGTACGTCGCGATCGCATAACTTTCCTGCAAATACGCATTTTCTACCAAAGGTATGCGAGGTGATCGATCTCTTGCGTTAATTTCGCAAATTCCAATCCGCGGCGCGGAGAGAAGGCGGTCAGAGAAGGAAAAGCGGGCGAGTGCTAATAAGAGAAAGAAGCTGTCCGAGAAACGTGGGAGAAAGAGAAAGAGGGAGAGAGAGAGGAGCGGCAAGTACGAGTAGCGTGTACCTGCAACCTACCTGTACTTCTCGACGCGTAGCTCCAGTCACCGATCGAATGCTCGACACATCAGTCGTACGGATAGATTTTTTCGGAATCGCGATTGTCATCACAAAGCGGTCTTGCTGCTAATCGTGTCAGCGTGTGAAGTCTGTATCGCCCAAATATTTTCGACCAGTGCGATGTATGGATCGTGTAAAATGAAGAAATCGCTAATGATTACGCTTCGGTAGGTTAATTCGCGATTATTCGCGCGATTTATGAGAAAGATGGATTTCTTTAATTGGGAAAGTATGAAAATAATTTTCACGCGTTTCAATATTGAAATTGCACAACCGCGTGCACTATAATTTGCAGTTTACGATAAATGCGCAAAAGGAAGGGGAAGATATTTCAGAATTAAAATCGGTAAAATTTTGGTGAGTGCAGATTTCGACGTTATGTGAATGTTGTTCGTTTGATTATGAGCGAGTGTAGTTAAAGCCAAATGGTTAATTTGCGTTTATATCTTTATGCTCACTGCATAAATGCAATGAAATACGAGACATTCTATGCAATAATTAAACTGATTAAAGTGAAGAATCTTTATTCGAATTGCAAAGAATAGTAGACATATCTGTTGGCGCTGTAGAAAGCGATGAACAAAGTAGGAAAACATTACAAAATGCAAAAGATATCACGAATGCTGGCTAGAGCGCTCCAGTGAATGTAATAATGATCTCCATCAAGTTCTCGAAACGCTTCGAGATGCCTCGCAGCCGTAGAAGCAGTCCGTTACATATGTTTATTCACAAGTGCAAGAAATAGAAGACTCGGTTGTATGTTCATCACGTTTAATCGACTGCTATTAACTCTTGAATTAGCCTGCGTAATCGTTCTTCCAGAAATAAAATTTGATTTCGAATCTGAAGTCAAAATTATAAAATAACGGATCCAACATGACAGTCATCGGATAAATAATTTTAGCGTATATGCTTCGAAACTTGGTATCTCTGCTTTTTGGAATCGCTAACACTAATTTGCGATAAACAAATTAGCTTTTGTAAAAGATGCTGAATTTTGTGTGAATTCAAGAAACATTTCCGTTTTATCGTTAGAAATATTCTAACGTTTCTGCGATTCTCTAAAATTAAATAATTATTTTTTTCTGGTTTTCAAAATTTATATGCAAATACCAAATCGAAATATGAGTAAAAGAATTATTTTAGATGATGAAATTTGCTATCTTGTAAAAAGCTGCAATGGTATTTTTCTTGTACTTTCAGATAATTATGATCCTACGTATGTCACCAGTCGAATCAGTGATTACAACATTCAATAATTTGCTTGGAATTCCATAGAGCACAAGCGCGATCATTGACAGTCACATCAGTCGATAACTATCAACAGTTATAATTAATCTATCTATCAAAATCTATCTAACATATACAAAATATTTTTTACGCAATTTTGTAATTACGTAATTTTTTAAGGTTTCTCCAAATTCAAGAAACGAGGCAAATTTATCAAAGATAGTTTTTTATCTATATTTTTATAAAGATACTTCATGTATAATAAAATATAAAATTGTGAATACGTTGAAAAGAATTTTCTATCTAAAAATAATTAATACAAATAGAATTGGATTAAATATGCAATAATCCCAGTTAAATTTACCATAATTCGAACGAAAGAGACGCGCATTTCAGCAAGATTCTGTGAAATTATAGCAACTTCTAATTTAGCGCGACGTAAAAATGTGCTGGTGCAAGATCACGCTCAATACAACAGCAGGTGAAAAATCGTGGAAGTTTTGCAAATCGATCGAAAAGCGCGATTATTGCCGCAACTGAAATATCACCAGGACTATTTTCAATCGTGAAAATTGCTTTCGAAATACTGCGGACGGAAGCTTATTTTAAACGTGTAAGATAATTACGACGAAACACGATATTACCGGAAAAGTCAACAATGCGCAGTTCATTCTATTGACGAAAAAAATCATGGAGAACACAGTGACGATCGCGCTTGATTCTACGGTGAGAAGTCAAAATTCAAGTCGCTCGAAAGATTCAATCAATTCAGAGGTAAAGCCGGAGAGTTGTCTAGAGTCGAAACACTCCAAAGATGTTCTCATCCCAGAGAAGCAGCAGCAGCATCAGCCGCCGAAGCATGCAGAAGATCGGCAGAACTTGCAGACGACTTCCGAGACGAAAGACGATTCCAATCTGCTGATGTTCACGTCATGCGGACAATTGTTGCTTGGTAAGTTTCTTGGCACATTTATACGCACTCACATAAAGCTAAAATGTATTATATTTTACACATTTTATTTTTTTCTTTCCTAAATTTTTAATTAAATTTTTGTTTATATCAGACAAAATAAACAGGAATTTTTTGTAAACTTATTAAATTTAGTTGAAATATCGTGCTTGAAATACCGCGAATTATCTTCAACTATTTGATTACTTCAACTGTAATTAATGAATACATTTTCGCGCGATTAATGTTACTTCCACTTGATTCTTACCAAATGACTTTGTACATGGAAACTAGTACTTAACGCTAGAAACAATATAATTACTTGTCTCTAAATGTCAGTTGAGGAAGAATAAATTGCTTTAACGCAAAGAGCGTACTTTATACAATTGTGCACAATAAGTTGCATGTATACAACTTTCTAAATTAAGTTTTCACTCTTACGTTGATTTCTGATTTATGTACATTCAACATTCGTATCATGATTTTTCGATAACGCACGCACGAATATTTTTACTTCAAATTATTGCCATTTAATTGCGCACAATTTTATGTGTAACGTACAAAATAATCATAGAAATTTTATTTATATGAAGAAAGTTGTGTGTTTTTATATATGTATATGTATGTACATACATATATATGTACATACAGAATGTAATTATTATATTTTATAAACTACTCAGGATAAAAAATTAGACTTTTATCACTTAATTTTTCGAGAACTTTCTTGCTCTAGTATTTCGATTTGCGAGTTTAAAAATATAAAACTTTTAAATTATTGAATATTGATATACCATGAATACACAATTGAATGTGGGAAATTGAAAAGGTTAGTGAGAGCTGCGCTTTCTTTAACCGCACATTGACTCTCACTTGTCTTTCTGATTTCTTACTGAAAATGTTTTTTGTCAACAAGAGTCAATATAGCTTTCATTCCAAATTTAGTTTATTAAAAGTTGATTTGAGTGTTTACTGCGCAAAAATAACATAATCTACATATTCGATCTTTTTATATTATCTTTATATATCGCTATACGCATATAATATTATTATATAATGTAATATGTAACATAATATAAATTTATAATGTATTATATATTAATTATAATATATACATATATTATATAAAAATTGATTCTGCAGAAATGAAACAAATATTAATTTCACCGTGTTATTTCGCGTCATATTTAGGTATCGTTTTGGTCGTCTTCGGCGTCTTGGTGCTCGTCCACGGCGCTTCCTTGGGCAATTCTGGTGCAGGACTCTGGGCAGGTGCTGGAGCTTTGGTTACTGGCGCGCTTGGAGTAGTTGCGACCTTAGCAACGTCATCCACTAAAACAAATTCCGCTTTCTCGTCTGCTCATCTCGCTTCCAGCCTGATTGCTCTTGCCCTTTCGAATATGGCAGCTATAACAGCTTTGACGGCGGTCGTCAGAGACTCGCAGAGAGTACCTGAAGTTTCGCTCCTCAGCTTCTCGGTATGTTCTTTTTGACTACTTCTTGTTTTAACTATATGACGTATATTATAAAAATTATGTAAATTTTGAAAAAAAAGTTAAGATTTTGTCAATTATGACATTTTACATTGATTTCTTCTTCATCGATGCTGAAGAGTTAACAACATAAGAGAGAGTACAATTATGACGAATTATTAGCTTAAGTTATTAATGAGAGAAGAATTGCCCGTAATTGTCTTCGATATTTTGTTTGCTCGAAATATTATTATTTCTAAATCACCATCGTTTTAACGATGCCAACTTGTTTCGTGCTGATTATTTGCTCTGTTCGTGCTCACGGGTTGTACGCTAAGCATACAAGCGCAAACCCGATAAAGATCAAGAGTGCATCGCTGGCGGCACTAATTAATGAGGTTCACGGAACTTTATCATTAATTAATATATAGACACGCCGACATGCGTCGTAGTTAATCTCGATTTGCAGTATCGGTGTCGCATATTGGATAGTTAAAAAAAAGTGGGGGATTTGTTTTTAGAAAAAGTGATATACATTTGAAATATAACTGCTTTTAACTTTTCTGGCATTTCAAATTTATATATTTATTTATATATATTAATAAATTGTGATTTCGCATACATATAAAAATATACTATCCGAATTTAACGTCAAATATTACTTTTTTAAGTGGAAAATTTTTCTAAAAGATGCAAAATAATTTTTTTGCTTTAAATAGCTATAAATAAATCGAGAAAATTTATATTATAACTGCACGTGTAAACAAATTTACTTGAAAACTCTGAAAATATATTATTACGTTTATGAAAGAATAAAAGAAAGGTAGCAAATCAATGACATAGTAACAGACTTTCGAGGCTTGGTAACAGTTTGGGCACTCGCGAAAAATGCTTCGCTGCATATAAATTGTTATCTAGCCGATCAGATTGGCCAGTTTTAATATACGTGGCTCATGTCCGATAAAATCGTTTAACCGCCTCTTGGAGAAAGTTCTTAATGCCAATGCTAAAATGCGGCCAAGCTGCGCGAGCACTATGAAGTTCCAAGATCGCGACCACGCAAAACGTATAAGAGATTATTGTTACGCGGTTCACGAGTGAATGCTCACATTAGTATACGCGCATGCACGATAATGTTTCTACTCAAAACTTTGCAAAACTTGTAGAAAAAATATCATTTGATATTAATCTATTTCGTATGAAATATGAATTATTCTGAGCGGCGCATTCTTGAAACAGTTTTGTCATACTATTCTGCAAGGCCTATTCTCGCTCTTTACGTAAATTACCGTGCAGATTTATTCTAAAAGATGATTATTCTAGAATAAGGTGAAACTTTTTCGGATAATTTGTCTTTATTGAAGTCATTCGAATTGTTATTAAAGATCCAAATCAAAGAGATTCTGCTGAAGATTTGTATTTTTTACATGTTGAAGAATCAATCTTAGTTTGTTCCAAAGTTTCAAGTACTTACATTATCGAACTGAATTACAAGAAATAATTAAAAATAATACTTTTTGCATATAAAAGAGGTTCTTTAGATTCCCATTGAAAATCCACTATGTTAACTATCTTAAATTAAGATGCCTACAGGCGTTTCATATATTTCACAAAACGCGCAATTACTTATCAAGTGCAATTATCATAAAAGCAAATCTAGAATAAAAGATTAAAATTCCTGATTCCTCTGTGTTAGATTATTACGTTGGAAGAAATGTGAATTTTTCTTTTGTAAAAAGTATGACAGATGAAACCGCAGTGGAGGAACTAGGAACTTTAACATTTCTCATAAGGATCTGACAGCAGTATCCTTTTAGGGCGACGACAGCCAAGTGATGGAAGTAGACGACGGCTTGGCGGGTTTACTGGCGAGCATCGGCTTACTGGTGGCCAGCGTAGCGGAATTGTTAGTGTCCGGCTATAGCTGTTTAACCTTGACACCGAAATTGTGCGGCTGTTTACGAGCGAGTTCCGCAAACGAGACGGCGAGCAACGGTCATCTGAAGACCGACAACATGGTCCATCAATGGGTCATCGCGCAAAAACACGTGCCAACCAAGAACCAGCAGCCACCAATTTACGTAGTGCAGCCGATACCGATGCCGATGCATCCGATGATGCAGGTAAACGCCTCTTTTCCCATAGTCTCCTCCAGCTGCAATCTCTTATCGTCAATGTAAGGGGAACAGGTCAACGCGCGCGTGTGGTACAGTGAGAGAGTGAGTGACACGCGCGTTAGAAAGTCGAAGAAAAATTCTTCCGGATGAATCGTTGGGAATGTTTACTTTGTTGCAATTTGAATATAAATGTCTCATAATTAAAATAAGCTTGCAATTGTAGGAATTTGAAAAGAAACACGCGAGAAATATCGTTAACATATAACACATTTGTTGAAATGTGATATTAATCATTAGTAATCGAGAACAATGTTGTAGAATATAAGAGTTAATTTTGAGAGCAAAAGAGAGAAGAAAGTTCACACTGAAAACTGAAAGGGTTACACGATTACAGTCACCGTACGGCATGCCGCCAACGCCTGGCAAGTTTCCGCCTGGAGGATTCATGCCTGCTGGATCTCTTCCGATTACCACATCAATGCCATACAATATCGTACCCGTGTTGCCCCACATGCTCCCGTACAGTGGACGACCATCGTCTCAATCAGTGAGTTTTTGAATGTAAAATCAAAGCAAATAACACGGCTTAATAAAAAAAAAAAATTGAAATTTTGTAGTTAAAATAATCCAATAAAAAATGTCTTGAAAATTTAATAACTAACATGATTTATAGTAAGTCAAAAATTCTTATGCACACTTTTTAGACGTGCCTCTTGTCCTTTTAATGCAACTTAATTCATTTAACGATTCATTTAATCGTGTTGAATAATTGCTTATTCATAATTGACAAGCGTGATTGGATTTAGTTCCATCCAAAACACAAACGTCAGCAAATCATGGATCAGGAGAGGTCAGAGAGAAAACAGCACCTCGAGACCAAGAACGAGTCCCTGAAGAGGATGTCATCGATTGATAAGGATCAAGTGGATTTGGCGCAGACTTACACCGGATTGGACAAAAGAATTTCCGAGGAATTTATTTCAATTGCGATGGATCCAGATAGAAAATCCAAGGCTTCCAGTCACTACGGTAGCGAAATCGGAACTGCGAAAACTTTTTCATGACTTTTAACCGCGGTAATTAAAGGGTTTAGCAATTAAGACATTTTTTGTCAGTTTACAAAATCTATTTTAGATACATTTTCATATTTTAAATCGATTATGTTAATGATTTATATTATTTTTGCACTTGTATTCTTTAACTTTGAATATACAAGATGACCTATTGTAATCTATAAATAAATTTATTTTTAAAAATATTGCAGACAAGAAGAGTGGCACATACAGAAGTTAAATTATTTTGCATATAAAAAGTATTATATATTTTGCACGTAAAAGGATATATTTAGAATTAGTTAATACTAATATTTAGTTAATACTAATATTTAATTAGTTAATACTAATTAATTTCGATTTTTTTGTGGCGTATTTTTTACCTGATGTTATTAAATGAAATCAACTGGAATCTAGCTTAAAAACCATGAAAACATAAAAAGGTAAGTAAACATAAATAGATTTTATGGTAGATGTTCAAATATATTATCTAGAACATCTAAATATTTTTACATACGGGTTTTTAAATAACAACAATTAAATATTTTCTTAAATAAATGTTATTTATTGTAGAAGAGATTTAACTTTTCTCATATTTTGAAATCCCCATAAATTTATATTTGCTACAAATCTTATATTTACACATTCAATTTTTTTGTTCACTTTATTTTTCTAGATTATTTTTATAGAATTTTTATACATATTCCTATTTATTTTATCGGTTATTTCTTGCAAATATAAATTGTTCATATAATAAATGGTTGTTTACCCTAACATATACTTATGTATTTAATGATTATTAATTTATGCTGTAGATGACACAGCTAATTTCTTCAAATGCTCCATAAATACTTGCAAACTGACATCATCCGTCAGAACAGGTGCTCCACTCTCCTATAAACCAAATAAATAAACCAAACAAAATAAGATAACTATTTATTACGCTTAATTATAAAGACATGAGATAATTTATATTTTTTCATTATTTTTAATTTTTACATGAAAAATTACTTTTTTCCAAATGTTATCAAAATTTTCTAATTTTATATATTAAATTAATTTTAGTTTTTAAATAAATAATATATGGTAGACATTTAAATTATATGATTAATTAAAGAAAATATATATATATACCCAAAAACATGCATGAGAAAAAAATGGAAGTAGGGAAAGAGAGCAAAGAAAGGAGAAGAAAGAGATTTTTATTAACAGTTTATATAGAAAAATGCCTCGTAAAATTAATTTAACTTGTGAAAATTAATGATTCTCTCAATTTAAATTAATTTAATCGAAATATTTTCCACACGAATTGGCTTTGCTTACTTAACAATATTTTAACAATTTTAATTAAAAAATTTTTAAATAAAATTTTTTATGTCACAGATATACCGAAAATTGTTTTAGAATTTTTGGGGGAGTTAAAATAAATTTACTTTTAGAAAAAAATTGACTAGTGACCCAATTAAGAAAAAAAAACATTTCATAAATTAAACTCTAAAATCAAAAGATATTTTCATAAATACTATCAATGTTATTCATTATATAAATAATCCCATCACCAAAGCAGCTAAATACATAGAAAAGAAAATAAATAAATAAATAAATAAATAAAATAACACACCCCATTAGGTATCGGCATCCCCTAGTTTACAGGATCACGGTAACATAAAAAAACATTACACAATTACACGTACGTAACTTTCACAAACACTTATACAGATTTCCTGTCTTTTTAGTTACAGATTCTTGGATCTTTTTTTTATCGGAATTTTTTTTAATCGGAAAAAATTTAATTAAATATCAAAATCATTTGCAATTTCTTAATTTTTAGCATTTTGATAAGCCTCTTAAATTGGAATCATGTTAAGAAGACTATATTGTACATACATTTTTTTCACAATTTAAAACAATTTTGTTAGAACCAAAGTTAAAAATGGAAACTATAGTATTTAAAATTTTAGATATTAATAAAAAATGTTTGATATGTTTATTATTTATATACAATTAAAATAAATCCTTTTTTTATGTAAAATTAATAACTTTTTTGTTTATTTTTACCTAAAGTATCTTCTGTGATAAATATCTATTGTCTATTATTTAACAATTTTTAACGTCCAATTTAATAATTTTTAATCTCACAAAACATGTAAAAATATAAAATATAAATGTATACTCACCGCGCCATAAGCGTACATATTATTGTGAGTCTGACTCGGGTTGACTTTACTTAATAAGAATCTAGCTTGAGAACCACCTTGTTCTGTATCAATATACCGAGGTGCAGGAAATCTACCACCTAATATCTCAGCGGCATCATCAACAGGTGCTGCTAATAATTGTCGAAAATTTTCATATTCTGGTAGATCCTGATATTTTAACTGTCGCCACTGTGCAATAGTCTGCAAATAACATACAGTTCAAATTTTATCGTTCATAGAGTTTAGTTGGTTTTTGAATATGGAAATAATACAAATAAATGTATAAATTCGTTGTGTGTATTTAAAGTTACACATGTAGACATACGCTTGGTGTGTTTGTGTCTAGTGTTTTCATTATTTTTTTTTTTTGTTATATTCTTTTCTTTTGCTATTTTTTTTCTATCTTAAAATATTCTAAAACATAGCACACATTTAAAAAGCTTTTTCTCTAATCAGTATCTTGATTTTTAATTTAGACAACATTTAAAATCATAAAGAGGGAGTGTGTTTTACTCTAGACGTTTTAAAATTTAAAGTGCTTATATCGCTTAGAAATTAGAACATTTAAAGATAAGATTCCGCAATCACACGATCTCATGCATAAGGTCAATAACTTAATTATAGAGATGTATTTATAATTACCTCTCCGTGAAATATAAGTATTTGGAAAAATGTATCCATTAATAGAATTCTCTCAGGCTGAATAGACGAAGTGTCTAATAATACAGGCTCTGGAGGACCATTAAATCCATAACTATACAAGATTGGTTGGACCATAATCAAAGAATTTGTTAAATCTTCACGCATGAGCATATGCCTGAATATCAAAAAAATCATATATATATACTTACACAATTGTATCCAATGTGATGAAAACTTTTTTTAAGATATTTGTACGATTTTTTGTGAAATTTATTATCAGCATAATTGCACGAATTTTCTTGTTGTCCGATACTTAATTGATCAGTTTTCAAATAACGCATAAGTGATAATATATGTGGTATTATTCATGTGCATATCGTGAAAGAAAAAGAAACTTACCTATAAAAACTAGTTTCATCCGGTGAATTATTGAATACTTGTAAGAATTGCGATCTACGCAAGTGATACATAAATTGTGGATATAAAGAAAAATTTTCCGCTAATCTGAAGCTATTTGGATCATCTTTTGCATACTCTCCGAATTTTTGACACTGAAAAAATCAAATTTTAATTCAAAATATACGAAAATTATAAATATAAAATGGTACACTTTATCATGTAATTCATAATAAAAACTAACAAGCCTAATCAACATGCGATCAACCCATCTTAAGACATCTGGACCATCATCACTTTCTGCTTTAAACACAGCTAAACGTGACATAAGAACAGCTGCTGCTTCCTGATCGAATCCAGCGCTTACATGATGCAAGGATGACGATGCATCTGCCCAACTGTAGTTTTATGAAAAATAATAATGCATATATTAGTGTTAAAAAAAACTATTCATACAAATGTCGTTGTGATGTAACACAATAAAAAAATGATGACTTGCTTTCTTGCGATAGTAGTAACCCGGATTCTTTTTTGTCCACTGCTGTGTTGATATTGAGTAATGAATTGAATACAGCCTCTTCCACCTTGCGGAATTGGTGCTGTATGTTGATTTACAACTTCAAAAAATAATGATGTTGTTGTAGATGGTGTCAATGAACAAAATTTCCACTGGCAAGTGCCACCTAAACCTACTTCTTGTTCTCCGACACTAGATCCTTTCACTCCCAATGATACGCAAGGTCCAATAGCTCCGGAAACCTTAATTTCTCGAGACGTTTTTACTTCTAAAGTGGCGTTGAATGCCATTTTCAAATCGCCCTTAGTATCCTTAGTAAAAACTCTTTGAAAGGTTTGTTTAAATAAGGAAGAATTAAAGGAATCTCCCATCACCATGTGACCGCCGGTGGAATTACAGCATTGTCGCATTTCTAACAAACCAGTTTGGTCAAGAGCACAAGAATAAATATCTATTATGTGACCGTTAGTTGCAGCGCGTGATGCGAGTGCATCATAATGCTTGGTTGCTTTTTTCATATGCTTGGCATTATCCTTTTGTATATCATGATGCGATCTAATTGGTTGTCGTAAATCATCAGTGACAACTTGACCAGGTCCTTGAGAACAAGGTCCACCAACGAACAGCAAAATCCTAAAATATCATGTTTAAAGATGTTAATTATAACATTGATTATAATATACTGAGTGATTCATTAATCTTAACAAGCGATTTCGGCATAATATTTACCTGCCACCAGTATTTGCATAACTAGCTTCAAAGAGACCGGTGGCAACTGCCAATGCTACACCTGTGGATCGTAATGGACGTTTTCCTGGTCCGACAGGCCATGGATCACGTTGTAACTCTCCTAAAAGATCCGTCAAACTCATATCGCACTTGTGTACTGGTTGTAAAAAGCGATTGGCAGGCGGCAAAGGTTGCACACCAGGCGCTCTTGGTTGGTTTGGATTTTGTCCTGGGATCGGTCTGCCTATACCTAGCGATAAGATATAACAAGATACAATGAAATAACACTGATTCAATATCAAAGAATAAAAATAATAAAAATCTACTCTTCTTTCTCAATAACAATAACTTAATGGAACATACAAATTTTGATTTTTATTAAATTAATTCTTACCTAACATATCTTGAATTTGTTTCGGTTGAAGATCCTTTGTGCCACGAAATACATAACTTTTACTACATCCATCGCATCCCAATTCATGAACTTGAACCATTCTGCCAAACGTAATAAGACCAATAAGAGCATTTGGTGGAAGCAGAGATAATGACATTTGTAATGAATCTTTAAGCGCTCCTAATTCTTCTTCATCCAAACATGTATCCACAACAAGTAGAAATATTGGTGGTAAACACTGTGCACGCTAAAATAATAATAACACTGTGTACAGATGAAATATTTAATATATAATTTCATTGATGTACATAGAAAATAATAAATTATATAAATTTTTGCATATATTTTCCTCCTAAAATACCTCTTTTAACAAATAAAAATTTAATTTTATCTATTATTTACCATTATTGTATATTCAATTGTTGAAAACATTGGAATAAGCTCGGCTGGCTGATGTTGTTCCGAAATTGCAGCATACTGTGGTGGAAACTGAAAACATACATGAATATTGTATTTTAAACATATGTTGATCATGTTTAAAACAAAGAAATAAGTTTTGGTTTTGGTAAACTAAACTGTATTATTTTAACAATTAACATATATAGAAGTAAATTTGTTTTACAACTCACACTATAGATTTACTTCAAATTGAGCAACAGTTTAAACCAAATTATTAAAAGTTAAAACAGTTTAACTTAGTATGAAGAGAGTAAAGTTCTTTTCTTACAGGATTTCTCTGAAAGCAGAAATTGCAGACCCACAGTTTTGCACGATAATCCACTTGACATAACGGATTTAGAATGGCTCTGCATGTAGATCTTGTACACAAAACTGGATCATACTGAATCGGTGGAAGATCCGCTCGTTCTTTAATCGGTTGATACAAAGTGCCCAGCGGTACAACCAGTCTAGTAGCATCGATACGCGATGAGGGCCAAACATTCCATGTGAAACGCACGCCGTCGCGATCCTCGTTTTGTTGAATAAAATCCTCGTATGTCGTCATGTCTTATATTGTTCTAAAGTGACAAATAATACTAGTAATTTATTTTATAATAAAAAAGTCGACTCTTTTTAGCTGACAGTTTTTTCTTTTCTATTCAATTGTCTCTCATTTTTAATACAGAGATGTAAAATAATAAATACATTTAAAAGAAACAGAATTACTTCATAGCAGATTGATCATAAACTAAATACGTACAATTATTTTCACACAAGAGAACGTAAATTAATTAGCACTATTATGTTCATCCATATAATTGTATCATCAATATTTCACTTTACATTATACTTTTAACGAAAAAAACTGTATAAACCTACGTCAAAAGGTGACAATTTGCAATCACTCGAGCCACGTCACTTGGAACATTCAACGCACATGCGTGGCATACATCAGACTCGTAACTTCCTTCTTGGAAAATTTCAACAGTTTCAGCGCCATCACTTTCTGTGGCCACCTTAAGCCTGCATCTTACTATGCAACTTTTTACAGCAATCGCAGGCGATCTAATAAATTAATAGAAATGCTGTGTTGCTGTATGGGTGCATTTTTTTTAGTAGTTTACCAGATCAATTGCGAATGGCTGCAACAAATTGCACAATCGGATACAGATTTTTAAGTAATTATGCGAATGCACATGGACCTTAATACGTTGACGCATCTTGTGTACGGAAGCCATAAGAATTCTTTCATTTTCATGGTGTGCGATGTTCCGTCTATGTATTTTTAAGTTTATGCCATGTAAACTCGTGAGCACGCCATTTCGGAAGTAGAAATTCACAAGCGGTTGACATTCGTGAATTGCATTATTATTTTAATATCGTATATTTCTTTGGGTGAAGTAATCGTAAAAGATGGGGGAAGATTTTAACGGAGGTAAGTAATTTGGCGATCCGATGAGTCGCAATGTCGAGTTCTCTTCTTTACATTCCCGCGTTATTGGCTGACTAGCCGATACTATTTGCGAATATAATGGCCGGACACATTATCGAGGCTAGTAAACACAGTTGGAAAGTTGCTTTAAGTGGCACTTGGAATTATTTTATTTGCCCACAAAATTCATTTACTTTCTGTTTTTAATGGATTTGTACGTAACAGTAGAGCGATTTTAAATATCTGAATTTCGGCAAGTAGGTATCGCTCCAAAGCGATATTCTCTATTAATCTTATTGAACACCGTTTAATGGAAATCAAGTATGGCAATATAAGAGCAATTAATTTATGAGTGAATTTAATTAAACATATTTATTGTTATATAATTGGATGATTAATGTTTCAACCTAAAAAATTGATTTTTATCTAGATCGCGATAGACAAGACCGGGATAAAGACAGAGATCGCGATAGAGATCGTGACAGAAGGCACCGATCACGCAGCAGAGATCGCAGAAAGCGGTCCCGTTCTCGCTCCAAAGATCGCAGAGATAGAAAAAGAAGTAGCTCACCAAAGAAAAGTCGTAGCTCTAGAAGAAGAAAACCATCTCTATACTGGGATGTGCCTCCACCTGGCTTTGAGCATATTACTCCTTTGCAGGTAGATTATTTTTGATATTATCTTGATTGCTTTTCAAATGCACATAAAGAACGAGAAAAGTAAAATAGAGCGAGAAAGATAAAAAATATCTTTTAACAGAAGACATTTTGCAGTTTTATTTACATACAAATGTATAATTATGTACTCTATATATAGATTATATTATAGATACAAATAGTATATATATATAGTATTATATTTGCACATATATTTTTATCTGTACGCATCTGTAAAGTACATCTATATTTTATCTCTACAGTACAAAGCTATGCAAGCTGCCGGACAGATACCTGCCAATATAGTAGCAGACACACCCCAAGCAGCTGTGCCTGTAGTTGGTAGTACTATTACACGTCAGGCAAGAAGACTCTACGTAGGGAACATTCCATTCGGTGTCACCGAGGAAGAAATGATGGAATTCTTCAATCAACAGATGCATCTGTCTGGACTGGCGCAAGCCGCTGGAAATCCAGTATTGGCGTGTCAAATTAATTTAGACAAAAATTTCGCATTCTTGGAGGTATAATTTTATCATGTGCATAAATTTTTTTAAAAATATTCTATATGTTATTAAAAGTATGGTATAGATATCGGTGAATTTCGATCAGTTAATCAATGTATTTAAGTAAACACTAATATTTTTCTTCTTTCTCCTTTTTTTTTTTAAATACAGTTCCGATCAATAGACGAAACCACGCAAGCTATGGCGTTCGATGGTATAAATTTTAAAGGGCAAAGTTTAAAGATAAGGAGACCGCACGATTATCAGCCAATGCCGGGGATGACGGATAATCCCAGTATGAACGTGCCAGGTACGGTTCCTGGTATGTTTTAAACATACAATTCTGTACATTTAGCAATTTAGTCAATTGCGTGTCATGCCTGACGATAATTTGTACTCGTCTTAATTCTAGACATATTCTTTTTAGATTCGCCGCACAAGATTTTCATTGGTGGTTTACCAAATTATTTGAACGAGGAACAGGTATGCCGGCAAATTTGTGAAACAATTTTATTCACTGCACACCTTTCAATGCAGTTTTACTTCATTGATGCCTATTCCGATCGATACGATTTATTTGTCGAAATTTGCATTGCTGTTGAACAGAATTTAGTGCCTTAAAAGAGATTCGGCTTCAATGACAGATCAAACAAATTGCATTGTTATACAGCAACGGTACAGAATTAGCACGGAATACTGCTAATCCTGTCACGTTGTAAGTTACTCTTAAAGGACTAAATTATAATATAGGTATTTAGCTATTTAGCGGTGAGTGCACTCATACATACACGACTGGAGAAACTCTTACCCGAATCTAACAGAGGTATGTATGCGTTTCCATCAAGATTTTTCGGCGTCGATTAGGTTCCTCATTAGGTAGAGGTATATATGGTCCTCGTTTTTCTTTTTTCTTCTTTTTTTTTACTTAAATACTTTCGAGCAATTTGCTTCTCGTTTCTTTACGGAACGAAAAAAAAAAAAAAAAAAAACTTAATCGTTTCTTGCACCATCGTCGTCCTTCCACCGCATAGGCTTAGTTCAGGGAACATTTAATGGCATTACAGCATTTAGGTGGTATGCAGTCATCAACGGTCATCCTTTCCTCTTTTCTTCCAGCCTTTCTAGGCACGTCGCGGACCCAGTGCATCACGAGGATACGAGTTTCTCCCAAATCTAGGCAATTTTTTTTTTAGGAGAGTCAACAGGGAAGGGGAGGGTTTCGATTTCTAGCTCCGACTACATTCGGAAATAAATCAACGTAGGGGAATAGATCAATCATTCATATTTCAAGTCCAACAGGAATGAGATAAAGATGCACCGTGATCGGTGGAAGAAAATTTGTTTTAAAGCTGTTTCATGTTTCTAAGCATTTCCGATGTAAAACATCTTTACAGAGTCGGCCGCTCTAGCGCAGCAATGATACGTGTCGTAAAAGAAGGATCTTTTTTAGGTCTACGAGTAAAAAGCGTGAAAATCAATGTTTTTATGTATAGCAGAAACTTTTTTTCCTTTTTCTTTCTTTTTGGGATTACAGGGTCAACACATAATTTTATGTGCATCTGGTAACAGCTCCAAGTTCTTCAGTATATATTCTTTTCAGGAATACCTTTTCCTTTTGCAGCTGTTCTTTTTACAGGCTTTTCAGGCTTAACAACACGTCTCGTCTTGTACCTCGTTACAATTACAGGTTACCGCGAACAAATCTCCGAACATTAATGCATTCAAACTTTTTGCGCAAAATGCAAAGACGAATAGTAAAATAAAAAAAAAGATCCAAGAAAAAAGAAATAGCAAACTCAATTTCATTGAATACGAAGAAGTATCAATTAAATATAACGGTATCCTTAAAAAAGTGGATTGTCTTTGAATTCGAAAGAGTAAAAAGAAGAGAAGTTTAAAAAAAAAATCAAGAAACGAAAGAAAAGTATGAAACGTCTCGTAAATATTATAGTATACTGTGGACTGATACCAGTACCCTTTCTCCCCATTTCTTAGCTTAGGGTCGCGCCGATCAAAAGCATTCGCTTACCACTACCACTACTTCTACCACTACTACTACCGAACATGACAAAATACCACACTGCCTGGGGAGAGGCTAGCCCAGTCCCTCGAGGCAAGTACTTATATACCATTCTCATTGCCTTCGTACATTGGGTTTATGCGACAATTTTGTAGCTCCCCTTCCTCGATGCATCCTTGGTTCTCCTGTACTAATGGTGCGTCCTCTGATTCGATAGTTTTACACCAATAAAAGCATGTTGCAATAAATCGAGGCTCTAAATTGCCTAATAATTAGTGGCTCTGTGCTGTAGAACCGATTTTGTAGCGTAAAAGATAAAATTTCTCTGACGAGGGCAACATGCTATTATGTAAATTTTTGAGTTTTCAGTTCCTTATCCCGTGGACATACGTAAGTAAATTCAACACATACGTTATATTTAATAAGTATAAGATAAAAGTCGGAAAATAGTGTTCAAAATAACGAATGAATTTGAAAAAAAGATACCGGAGCGCAAATGACCCAAATGAAATTGTTGAAGGTGAAGACGGGTGTGCACGGAGTTTCTACCGAGGAAAAAGTAATTCATATATTTATGCATTTGTATTGTATTTTTCTCGCATTTGGACGATGCAACTTTTTTCTCAAATTCCAATCTTAAAATTATTGGCGATTCAATTAAATATAATATAAATTTTGCCATTAATTATGATAGTTCGAAAAGCTATTTTAATAATGAAGAGTATCTTTCTTTAAAAGTTTTTTTTCTTTGAAAATAATACAATTTAATTATTTAAAATCTAACATGAAAAAGAATAAACATACATCTTTTATCACATTTTTTACACATGATAATTTTCATCTAAATTCTCTTATTAATTATCATCAGAGTTGCATAGTCTTCATTTCGTAGATTTGAAAATTATATTGCACATAGGAGAAAGTAACATTTTCACAATGATACAGGTGAAAGAGTTATTGATGAGCTTTGGACAGCTGAGGGCGTTCAATCTAGTAAAGGATTCTGCAACCGGTCTCTCCAAAGGATATGCGTTTTGTGAATATGTGGATGTCTCGATGACCGACCAGGCGATCGCCGGATTGAATGGGATGCAACTGGGCGACAAGAAACTAATTGTGCAACGCGCTAGCGTGGGTGCCAAGAATCCTATGATAGGCGCACAAGCTCCAGTACAAATTCAAGTGCCTGGTTTGTCGATGGTTGGCACGAGCGGACCCGCGACCGAAGTAAGCTCGTTAAATTAAAACCAAATTGTCCCCGCGAAATATTAATGTACCATTTTTATATAATTATGTAATGTCTTTTAGGTACTTTGTTTGCTCAATATGGTCACGCCGGAAGAATTAATGGAGGAAGAAGAATATGAGGATATCCTTGAAGACATTAAAGAGGAATGTAACAAATATGGCGTAGTGCGATCCGTGGAAATTCCAAGACCCATTGAGGGTGTCGATGTACCTGGATGCGGCAAGGTATATTTAACATAACGCTCGACGTATAACGCCCTGATTCTGTAATTACTTACCTGTTTTTTCTTTTTATTCTATTACAGGTATTTGTCGAATTCAACAGCGTCATTGACTGCCAAAAGGCGCAGCAAACTCTCACAGGACGCAAATTTAATAATCGCGTTGTAGTTACATCATACTTCGATCCTGACAAGTATCATCGTAGAGAATTCTAGATTGTAGGCTTCTCTTTTCATACCATTTAATAATTATGAATATATATATATGTATATAATGTATATATATGTATATGTATACATTATATATATATATTAGATATATATAATATTAAATATATATTATATACACACTATGTATTGTACATCAATGTATAATCTAAAGGTACTCGAAACTTATCAATTTATCAATTAATAAGCAACAATGTAAAACAAATTACTGCATAAAAGTCATTGAACTTTGCATATCTTGCATCTGAAAATATCGATATGCAATCGATCAGCCACATTTTAACATAAACATGTGTAATCATTACATTTGGTCATTAATATAAAGTGGACAATGGTATTGAACGATTTAATATTACCTGCTAGAAAATTAAGTGATTAATTAAATAATTTTGCAAAATCAGGATACATTATGCAAAAGTAATAAAGTGAAAAAAAACTATGTTATTACGTTTCTGCAAACACATTTCTTTTTTAATAAAATTCTGCTTTACATAATTTAGATTACACAATATAGATTATCTAGTATAAACGGAAGTTGCATCGTAGCGGATTAATTCAACTTTCCAGCGGCAATGCAGGCTGATATGACGAATGACTCTCTCCCGTATCGGCAGCGTCCACGACGAATTTTTGCAGCACGGCGTAAAGACCGCCGCCGAGCAACAACATGCCGATACCTGTCAAAAGTACTATAGCCCAAGCTGGTATAGCTGTACCTCCTGGAAACACGAATCAAGGAATATTTAAACCTAAGTGGCCGTAATTTATGTTTACGTCTTGCTTATATGATGTTTGCACAATTTTTGTTCGCATGGACAATGTAAACTATGTAGTTTCATGTAATAATTACAAAAAATAATTATCTATTAAATAAGATATTCCAAGTTAAGATATTTAATGTGTGAATATGAAGATACTTCATTGAAAAGTTGCACAAAATAATGATTTCTCATTCAACTTCAATTATATGTTATGTTACAGATTAGCAAATTAATAAAATTATAAATTTTTCTTTGCTTAATTATAATTAACATTTATGCGTATATAATTCAACAATTTATATTAAAACTTAATATTTTTTATATCATTTTATGAAAATATATACTTGAATAAAATTAATGCAAAAATACAAACAAATTTGTGGCAACAATACAATTGTTTAATATGTAAAAGCTATCGTAATTTTGGAAAAGATATTACAAATATTGCCTCTAAAATAAAAGTCATCATTTTGTCTTATATATTATAGCAAAAATTTTTTTTAAATATCAACAAAATTTTGACAAAATTATAAAATACTATTTCATTATATATATAGATAATACATTAGACATAGCTTACATTGTCTGTGCATAGAGAAATTATCACATTTTCTGCGCGCGTAAACGCCCATAATTATTACTTACTGTAATAACGCCTGGTTATCGTCTTTCGACCCCTTAAAATTTTGCGCCTTGCTTCGACTTCTTCCAGGAATATTCCCATCAGAACTATTCAGTGATGTTTAGAGAAAGCGAAAGAAAAATTATTCTTTATTATACTTATTATAACTGTTTTGTTGTACACAATGTTTCATTAAGATTTATTGAAAAACGTGTAAAAAAAAAATTAATTTTTACATATCACGCTTAATAAAAATGATTGAATTAACTATATAATCATTATAATTATTTTGATTACATGTCTCAATAATTTATTTTTTAATTAAACTTACTATATTATTATATTAAATTAATTATAATCCTCAATTAATTAACAAATTATTTTTAATCAATTAATGGTCTCTATAAAGCATTGACGTGAGAAAACATTTTTGCTTTTACTAGCGATTATAAGCAGATTTATCACTTCTTTTTTACTAACTTTTTATTAACTTTTACTTACGCAAACCAATTGTTAAGTAGCACAAAAACTTTTTTGAATACATTTCTCGCGAAAAATGTTAAAACACAGCAAGAAATGAATGGTGGAGCAACACTATTGTTAACTTGGCGTGTTAACTTTTCTGTCTACGCAATGCGTACTGAATCACACCTTTGATAAGAGATACGGATAACTAAAAGCAGCTTATCTATCTCAAGATAGTGTGATGATACACCTTTACTCACCGTACACATTATCGTAATTTCCTACATTAGGCAAAAATAAAATACGAGAATTAGAATTATCAATCTCTATCATTGCACTTATAAATTGATATTGCACAAAATTGTTGATAAATATATGTTCATAGTGATCGATAATCAAAGAGCAAACCTTCCAATAACTTTAAATTGACATATATTATTAAGTATAAAATGTACGGATTTTTACAATACTTGAACTGTAATCACTATAGATGTCAAAATATCCATAAAAAAATATTTCTTGGGGATTGAAGGATTCGTAAGGATGCAATGTTGATATCTAGTCTAAAGAATACGAGATTTCGATGTCCATTGAGCCTGTAATGATTTTTTTTATTGACTCAAAATGAAAAAAAAAACTAGTTACATTTACAGCACGGACATTTCTATTACGGAATTGTTGCAGTATCGGTTCGATCGATGCCAACGTAATACGACAAAAAGAAAAATATAAAGGTTAGGCTTGATGAATATCTTCAAATAAAACTGTATTGTAGAATGGTAATTTCGGCCAAAGGATATAATAATCTCAAATATAACTTAAAAAATATATATACATTTTATGTATATATATGCATACATATATGTATAAAAAGAAATCAGTTGGTTAATAATAACAAATTACAGAGCGAAGAGGAAAGACAAGGAAGAACAGTCTTAAACAAATTTAAAAAATTAGAAGTAAATAAAGGATTATAGATAAAAATTCGCCGCATACATACTTCACATTAGACTAGAATACCTATTTCTTTTTTACATTTATATATTCTCGAAATTAGTTAACATAATTATAATAATACATATATTCTAGCGGCCTCCTTGCACATTTCTTTCTTTCTTTTCTTTCGAAGAAGTGCAGCAACGCGAAATAAAGCTTTGAAAACTTATGAAAATAATTATTGCAATTAATATACCGCTTAAATCTTATTGCAATTTAATACAGCTGGCACATATACAAGGCATTTCGAACCAAGGTAAAAAGCGCACAGACAAACTACCAAAAGTTAGAGTCATCGCATAAAATTTAAAAAAAAAATTGAACGAGGAGCCTAAGTTTTCGTACAAGGTATTACTGCGACAAGAGCAGATGAAACATTTCGAGATAAAGAAGATACTCATTTCAGATATCTTTGAAAAGAGTTGGAGTTTGAACGGAGATGGAGATTTTGGATAAAAAAAAACAAAAGAAAAATAATGACTGATATTAATCTTGTAAAAAAAATAATAAAAGAATATTGAACATGTATATGTAATCTCGATAATTAAGAAAGATGGCGCAAAAGTTGGTTTTGAAAGAGAAGCAAGTTAAAGCTTCTATAGCAACGATTCTTCTGAAGATGTTGCTGAATCTGCAATGAAATAAATATGCATATATAGATTTATGTATTATAAACGCCACCAACCAGAAGAATTGGTTTCACCTTCACGATTAAAACTGTTGTAATTCTGACTCTTCAAATTATGCATTAGAGAGTAAGGTTGTATTTAAGCAGCGAGAGAGAAAGAGAGAGAGATGGAGACAAGTGAGATTTTTATGATAACGACGATAACCGACAAAAAGAAGTTTAGGAATGATTTGGGAGAACCTTTGGCAAAAGTTAGGATAAATTTCACATTTTATTAGATGCAGTTATTACAAGTCATTTTATATTCCAAGACAAGACATTTTATTTTATACTCAAAGATATAATTTACCGCGTTTATTTAATATAAAAGAATAAACGTGTACCGGCATTGTAAAGGATGTTTGTGAAATCTTAGAATAGAGAATGAAGTAATGCCGAAACACACAAACGAAAACAGTTGTGTAACATGTATATAAATGTTCTTTGACTTAAATGTCTTTATAACGTAACTCGTGCTTAATAAATAACAATACTCATCTTTTTTTTCGGCGATTTTGCAGTGCGCTTTTTATCCTTCCTATTAGATTATTTATTTATATCTTTAACAAGAACCGCAAGTTTTTCAAAGACACTTCCATTTTTTTTTTTTCGCAATTTACTCGTCAGCGATGTAACTCTCTCGAAGAGTCCTTTCTGTCTCGTTAGACGAGAGAAAGAAAGAAATTAATGTCTAGAAAATTTGCTAATTAGACGCGAATTATAAGAGAGTTTGAAATATTATACAAAAAGGTTTAAAGAGAAGCAAAACAGCCAGTGCTGGATGGTCGCGCCTGTGTATTACACAAACATATGATAACAACGCTTCGACCTATATCAGGTCTTCTTCAGGTTTCAACATCAAAATAATCGTACATTATAATTTTAAAGGAAAAATGCTTTCAACTGAATTAAAACGTTCAATTTATCTTCGCACGCAAAATCTTCAATATTCATACGCATGGTGTTTCAATTGACGGTGTCGAAGATCAAATGATCAATAATTTAATATTCTTCGTAATAAATAAAAAATTTCCATCCGTTCTTGATTGGATTCACGTGCGGCGAGAAGACATTCTTATGAAGAAGTGAGAGATAAGACCCATTGTTTCGTTTGAGCGAAAACTTGAACATTACATGTCGATAAGCAGGTCACGAGTGAAACGTTGATATTACATGTTTGTATAATACACAGGCGCGACCATCCAGCACTGGCTGTTTTGCTTCTCTTTAACCCTTTTGTGTTAAATTATTGAGCCTCGAATTATATTCTTTAATTAAATCGAAATATTCTAATAGATAGCAGAGAAGAAAGAAGAAACAACTGCTAACGAATATCAAGAGACACGGTAGTGTCTCGCGCCAAGTTCACGCGCAGCGCAATTTAAATATCACTCCAGCATATTTTACTCTACGGATTCCGATTGAATCGACCTGGGGAGCCTTTTTCATCTCTTTTTTTATTGACCCCGCTATTTCCTAATATGTGCAGCAATATAAATACAGTTTTACAGGAAACAATTCGTTAGTCCTAGGCAAGTTACGCAGAGAAATCGTCATTTTAATTAAATACATTAAATAAATAAAGAATACTGTATACCCGTGAATCAACGTACTAAATAATAACAACAACAACAACAATAATAATAATGAATGATGATGACAATGATAATAATCATTAGGGCGACGTTCAAGTGAATACTTAAAGCCGTCCTCCCACGCAACATACATCTCGAAAAGTAACAGGAATGGAAGGAGAATTCATCTCTCCGACGAATGTACGAGAGATTTCAATAAAAGGAGATCGGCCTATGAGGATAATGCATTTGTTTTCTAAATCTCTTATACAAGCTATGCTAAGAAAATCTGTAATATCGGACATAGCTATCGTCGCAGAGATCTCCATCTAGATGTGAATTTTTTTTTCCCCCTAAGCTATATACTCTATACGCTTGCGATTGAAGTCACCTCATAGTTTCACTTGAGAATATTCATAGTATCTGGATGGCATATAATAACTTCAAGATACATTCGATGAGAGTAATAATCTATTTACTCGGATCTCGATGAATTTACTGAAAGTGCGGTCATAAAAATGCGCTGCGCAGGAGAGATTAACTGTTACTATTATTATTCTTTCAAATCCTATTGCAAAGTTTTTCACGTTAGCTCTCAACATATTGCTACTGGTCTTTATATTTTCCGGCCATATTTTTTTCACAGAATAGTAAATCCCATTTTACCTCTTACCAGATTTATCATTCTGTACAAAAAAATATATATATATATGTACACTTCTTTCTTGTTCACTAAATTGAGATTCAAGCTAACTTTTTTTTTTTATTTGTCAGGCAACGCAACATCTTCGCTTAAAAGTACAGAACTAAATGCAAAGAGCATAGGTTTTCTTTTTCTTTTTTATCTCAATGCCGAACATTTTAATTCGACAATTGTATAGCTCATCTCGATAGGATTACAGAATTTCGTGTGTATGTATGTATGTTTGTGTGTGTGTGTGTGTGTGTGTGTGTGTGTGTGTGTGTGTGTGTGTGTGTGTGTGTGTGTGTGTGTGTGTGTTTGTGGGTGATGTGGTAGTGTATCAGTATTTGTATCTATGATTCGAGAAATACCATACAATATTGGAATATATATTACCGAATAGTCGTATAATTTAAATGAGCTAAACGTTTCGATTTATGCTTACTTTTACCTTGTGGCTAGCTGGTGTTTTGGCTCGAAGGGCTTTTTTTTGTTTCGCTCAGCGTCGCCGCGAAACTATTCGTTGCGCAGGATGACGTCGCTTCTTTAACAGATTGATTGCCGTCTAAAGTCGATTTCTCATTAGTATCCTGCGTACTACTGCTACTGCTGCTGTTCTCATTGCATTCTGCTATTTTACTGTCGACTGATTTGGACGTTTCTTGGCACTGATCTCCAGTACTGTTCGATAACTCCATGACGCTTTCATTGTCTGGCCATTCACTCGGTCTCTGTATTATATTTTCTTTAACGAGCACCTTTTTGAACGTTGCTAAGGTCTTGCGTAGAGTTATGCAGAAACCTCGAGACGCTGGGATGAGCGGAAATTCAGGCAACACCCTCTCATCTGTGTAAAGAAAGAAAAAACAATATTTTAATAAACCTTTAAAATAAAAAAAAAAAAAAACATTTTTGCGAACCAAAATTATCTCTATAGAAAAATAATTCCATTTACAATTTATATTTATATTTTGTGTATATTCCGGGTTTCTTGTTGAATGCTAAATGTAAATGTGCAGTTAAAATTTTGGAATTTTGAATGGCGAATAAGAAACATAGCGATTGGGAATTTCATCGACATGGGGCATAATATTATCTGATTTCATATAAAATATTATATGAAAAGAAAAATTATACCGATATCGGCAATCTCTTTAAACGTGGTAGGAGTGACCGGGGACAATGGGTGCTGATTGTTATGCTGCTCGGATATCTCCATCCACAGTTCCACCCTCTGCAGTAATTTCTCGGCGTGTTTCTTGAAGTGCGCGATAATAATGTCCTTAAACACGAGTGGCGGGTTTAGCAGCAATTTTGTCTGCGCTTGCACCAGCTTCAGCACCACCATCTCGTTGTACATCCGCGAATTTTCGCGCCCCTGCTGCGAGCCCTTCTGCTTTTCGAAGCCGGCCTCGTTGAAGTACGGCTCGCTCACGAGGATCAGGCCCTGTATCGAGACGATCACTTGCAGCAGAGTCGACGAGTTCGTCCATACTTCCGTTCCGCGACCGGACCAGGTGCCCAGCAAGCTCACGCACACCTTCCCGTCCTCGTAGAGGTTGGGATTCAGCCGGTCGCTGCAGTAAGAGATGTAGTGGCAAAGTGGCGGCGCGGCTGGATAATCGGCGGACAGTTGAAAGTCGAAGAGGAAGAGGCCGTCTTCGTAAGGCGTTTTCTCGGGACCGCGCAGCATCACCGAATACAGATCTATGCGGTCCTCGAATCCTTTCACCCACACGCCTGCCGGCAGCGAGCTTTTCAGCAGTTTTAACTCCTTGGAGACTGTCCTGAAGAAGTTGGTCGGATCGGTAGGCTGGAACATGGTTAGCTTAAATTTGTGGCAGTCGGGCGCGGTCTCTTCGATGGAGAAGCCCTCGCCCTCGGCGTAAACCAGCGGAATCTCGACGGGGCACTCGGACGGATCCGCCACCGTCTCGGAGCGCTCCGCTTCCTCGCCTTTCTGCTTTTTCCGCGGCGAGGTCTTCTCCGCGTCCGACAACGACATTTTGCCCAGGCCGAATCTCTTCGACACCTCGCCATGCGCCAGCACGAGCTGCGCCTTTATCAGATTGCACAGCTTGACACACACGTGCGACGTGCCGACGTTCTGCGATGTTGCCAGGCTCGTCGGCACTCTTTTCGTCTTGCTCGCCTCTGCCTTTTCGGGCGAGATTGCGTTGCTCATCGCTGACGAGCACTCCGGCACGTTGTTGACGTCCTCACTCATCAGGAACTCTCCACTGGACTCGCTCGAGCCCGACTCCTTCTTCGAGTTCTCCGCCGAGTACAATCCGGAGTCCTCGGGATTCAGATTCGGACGTATAAATAATCGATTAACTGGATCCTCGCTGCTCTGCTTTTTGCTATTGCTTTCGATATTAGTAGAACTATCAGTCTCTAACGTATCAATGATCGCGGCAATTGCTGGCTTCTCCGGCGCGCTGATCGCACACTGATCGCCTTTCCTCAGATTCTTCAGATAATCTTTGTCTGTAGAATCCTCCGGGTATTCGGACTTGGGTGTAAAGAGTCTCGTCACTTGATCGGCCATTCGTTGCGCGACATTCGCCCTGCCGCGTTCTCTCACGCGCTCGAGAAGCCCTTGGAAGTGGCACTCGTGAAAGAACGATGTGCCCATCAGCTTGTCCATGTAACGGCAATCCTTGTAAACCTCGAGAAGTTTCCTCATCACCTCCGTCGTCTGCAACAACGGATTTTGCGTAAAGATCTCTTCCAGCCGCGACATCGCGATCCTGGCTTTCTCAATGTGCGCCGCTAGCTTCGGCTTTATGTTCTCAAATTCCGTTTGCTCGGTGCCGTCATTATCGGCGATGAAACAATCCTCCAGTTCTGTTTCCCACGACGAGTCGGACGACACGTCGTCCCACAGTTCACCCTCGTCGCTATCATACTCGCCGACCTTGTACAGATCCTGCGGCCAGCACATACTAATGTGACCGCCGACCCACCAGACTTTTACGCGTCCCTCCGGATAATTGTCCAATACTTGACCGGCAGTGCACCCGGCGTCCTCGCCTTCGAAATTCGCTATTCGGATCACCAAGGTACCCGGCCTATACTGGAAGTCTGGATGATCCTTCAGGTCATAAACGCTCACTTCACGCTCCTCCAGGAAGGTCGGCCTGAACAAGAAATGATTGTCGTAAATTACAAATTTTTTTTTGTATATAAATGAAAGAAATGAAAATTTTTGAGTAAAGTCTCAGACATGAATAATTGACGAAATTTTAATTATTGTTGATTTGCAGTGATTTTAAAATTATATGGCAACACTTGAGTAATTTACAAGGTCCCATAAAAGTGCTGTAACATATGAGAAAAGAATGTTATCTTGCTGTCACACTTACTCTGGATTTTGACTAGAAGTATACGTCCGAAACCATTTTATCTTGGCAGTACGGCCTTGATGATCAACACTTTGTACTACGCCATACATTCTAGATTCCTCCTTTTGGTCTACAACAAAATCACCTGGGAAAAATTCTTTATCATCCAGGTGATGAATTGGATATAACTGCGTCGACGGTATGCCTAAAAAAATATACAATATTTAACATCACATACATATTTACAAAATCTTATAATAATTTTCTTTTTAATCATCTGACTTGAATTTTGTTCGTCTGCTATTGTTACATCTATCAAAAAATGCAAGAAAATCTGAATTAATTATCAGATAATTCATAATTAAATACTTAAAACAAGCAAAAGTAATTCATATAGATATAGCTTTTGATACACAATGAGCGCATACACACGAACACACACAATAATTATCATTATTAATACCAAATTCTACTGAGCCGTCTTGCCACACCACATTAGCTTTCGTATTAGTGGATAATGTTTCTACGACTATTTTAGTCCCGGGAATTAATGGAACAGGCGGTACTTTCTTTTTCGCTCTTCGCAACTTCTTTTTCTTCAGCACTTTTGTCATCAATGCGGGACCCTTCTTTTTCTTTCCCATCGATGACATGCTGGAACAGCCGCTGGAGATCTATAGAAAATCATTATTTCATTTAAAAAAAGTTATCAACAAGATTAACAAATTCGTGTAATTTAAAACAACACAATCTTGTTAATGTTTAATTCGATAAATCGTACATTTTATCGTCAATGTGTAGTCAATCTGAATAGTGACAATGCTGAAGTAAATAAATGAAGTGATCAATATTGGATTAATTCAATTCAACATTATTTTGTATATTTACTAAAACATATAGCTAAGTCAAAAAATATTTTTTTGGATGCACACTTTTTGTCAGTATTCGTCTTCAATTTCTTTCTTTCGTTTTTAGTTTTAGCTGAAAGAAAAAAAAAAAATTACCGAAGCGGTGTCACTTTGCGAGCCTGTAGTATCTTCCGTGTCCCACTCGTCAGAACTTTCAACGTGCTGATTTTGAGGCGGCGGCATCAACATATTATTGCTCGTAGCGTCCTGCAAATTAACTTTGACGTTGCTTTGACTGTTTTCTTCCCCCGATCGTTGATCGGACGTTTTGTCTTTCTTCTGTTCTTTCTTCTTGTCTTCCAGCAACTTTGTCACTGTAATGTTTGGACGAGCCTTTTTCGGACTTTGTTTAGGAACTTGATAAAGATCCCTCTGCTGCTTCCGCCACTGTTCGCGAGTAATGACATTCTCATTGCCCTTAATGATGTAGAAATTACGATCGCCAACTTGCACCGTTGACGGCTCGAACACGTTCAGCAATTTCAGCTTCTTCAGATCTTCACCCTCGACCACGAACTTTGGTTGAGCCTGATCGGACCAAGCGCCGTCCTTCGAATACGCTCGACACTGCCAGTGCACGCCGACCCAATCGGTCTCCACTTTTTCCACTATCACTTTGGTTATCTTCTGTGGTTTCAACTTCCTCTTCGCTTTCATCTCCTTCGTGCACTGAATCCATTGTGCCTCCTCCAGACAGTGGACCGGCCCCCACAGGCTCTGACCAGGATAGAATTCAGTCGAATGCGGAAAATCATTGTCCTGAAAGATACTTGCCATTTGCATCACATGATTCAATGTAAATGATAAAGAGGCTAAGTTTGTAGTTCCAAAATTGTATAAGTATTAAAACAAAGTAAAAAAGATTTTGATAAGTATAAAAAACTCGTTGGCAATAAAGTTATACTTTTCTAGAAAATTTCTTTCAACACTGAAAATTTGTAAAGTTAGAGTTTATTGTAAATTATTTAATCCTTAAATGCATTGTGTTGTAGATTTACACAAATAATTTTTATTCATCTTTTTTACTATCATAGTGCTATTTAAAATTCAAAGTTCAAGTTTTGTATATGTATCTACAAGAAAGTATTTAGGTCAATCTTTAATAAAACATCGACGTTAATTTTTTTGTACTCTTAGTACGCTAATTAAAAGTTAACTTAAAAAATATTATTTTTGTTGAATTCTAAGCAAATTATGCATTTGAAAGGTAATCTTACGTTATCTCGCGTCTCTTCCAGTTGTCCTAATACGCAAGAATCCATCTCGTTTATGACACAGTGTGATCCATCTGGTGTCACCAGCCATAACTTAAAATGTGTCATTCTAATGCCACCAACCCATGAATCCATGCAGACTGCCATATCTGTCGCAAATTCCTGCAAATAACAACAAAAATCCTTCATTTTCCAAACATTTGTTATAAAACTTTCAATAAAAAAAGAGCATCTTAAATTTTTCAGATCTTTATAGATAATACATTCTGATTGATCTTTAGAGAGTTATAAAGTATTTTTGAATCTAAAAGAGTCTAGAAAACAATGTATTGAAGTGTGCAGTGTTTTTTAGATTTATTTTATAAAAATAAAATTTAAAAAATGAGAAAATCTTTTGAACAACTGGATATATGTTCAATGAATAATTCACTTCCAAATACAATATTGATTTTGAGATGTTACAATACCTCGCTGTTCTCTAAAGACTAATGTGTGACCACAGAACTATTCAGAGCTATTTATATACCTGCAGTGGGATCAAATCTTCACTCTTGATATTGGTGAGAACTTGTTTTGTACCGATGACTTGTACACATGCCGTCAGTTCTATGTCCCTACAATAACCTCTTTGCGTATCCTTCCCTTTGATCATCCTGCGCACCACATCTCCAGGCATAAGCGTCCTGTCGGCCAGGTGAACCTAAAAATCAGAAGTTATCAGGATTGCCACGCATATCTTAATGTAAATATCGTTAACTTAAAATTTTCAATACAAAGGTGCTACATGCATGATAAGGGAGATGTCGCCTTTCATGCTGACAAGTCAGAAAAAGATGTGAAACAATGTTAAACGATGTTGGGATACATCAAAATGGTAACAATCTTGCTGGATTGCGGAGGATCAATCGATCCTCGACGCAGACTGCAGGCAATTGATGTACCTTCTTGCAGTTGACCAATTCCTCGATACCGGACGGATGCCAGATCATGCGGATCTCGCCCTTTTGGCGCTTCGGCGAGCCGAAGTCCTCCGCGCTGTCGTAGCTTTCCTCAGACAAGTCCTGATCGTCGTTCTCCATGACAATGCCGAAGACGACATTGCCCCGTTTATCCACGCGATAGACAACATCCTCGTAGAAATATTGGTTCTCCGGCGCAACATTCGCCGCAGCGGCCATCTTTCCGCTTTCTGCCTCTGGTCGCCTCTGTGATGATCGCCGCTACTCTAGTCTTGCTCTCGCATTCGGTGGCCGTCGGCGGCTGAGCACGCCTGCTCCGCTGCTCGAGCAAGTCGTGCGATGCCGAGCGCAGCCGAGCCGAGCCGACGATGATGATGTTAGGGGATGCAAACCCTTAGTCCGTGGTTAAACCTACAAACACCATCATACGAGAGTGTAGCAGATAAGAGAAAGAAGGGGGAAAGAGCAATTTAAGCGCCACCTGGTCTTGGTCACTTTAACTGAAAATAAAATGGGTCGTGCAACAAGTAATGCAAGTTGCACTGTGCAATTGCACAGTGCACTTGCATAGTGCACTTGCACGTTAGGCCTATGCACGCATCATTGTGTATGCACGTACTCATATTCCTTCACATTTCTTTTCTCAATTAATACATAAGTCTATTTGTGTCATTTCTACCTTCTGTTACAGTTTGGTATGTTCCATAACTTTTAATTTTATCTTAATTGATCTTAATTTTATCTTATCTTTATTTTAACATAAATGCTATGATAAATTTTGATTTGATTTTTCTCCAGTAAGTGTCAAGGGACAACTAGCATATAAATTGAACGATTAAAGAAAGTGAGAGAGAACTTTCTACAAACTAAAGTTTCAAGAACGACATTTCCAATAAGTAATGAAATATTCGTTAAATCTGAATGAACTTGACTACGATATACTACTCATTTAAAACTTGTTACTAAGATAAACGACATTGAAAATGTGAAATGTGCTATTATCTTTCAATACTTTTACTAAAAGATATGAAATTGATCCTGGATTGGTCAAAGAATCTAGCATTAAAATTAAAGTTACAAATTGTAAGATATTCTTTGTATAAGTAAAAGATCAGAATTTAAAAGAAAATGTCAAAAATCTGATATTATTTATAGCAGCAAGTCTATTCACAAAAAATGATGAAATTATAAAACACAAATAGTGCATGGGAGAAATAAGTTAATTATTTTTGAAATTACATTTTTGTTACAAAAGTAAACCTTGTAGTTTTAACGACTAGAAATGAAATTTACAACATCTGCAAGTCTCTATTTAAAACTTATTTCAATACATATGTACAATTTCGACTATTTATAATATCTGATAATACGGATGACATAAGTGATTGTATATTGATGGAGCCTCTCTGGGAAGATTAAAGAGTAACATTAATATTTATATATGTAAGCAACACAAGGAAAATACAAAGGTAAGAATATTTTCCTCCCCTATAGCTCTCTCCATAAATCTATAATAAATTCAACAATATATATTATATATTGTTTATACTGCAAAATGGGTACGTTGAAATCCTTGTTCCAAACTCTGTAGTATTTCTTGGACTTCAGTTTCCTTTTGGTGATAAAAGATGTAAGCATCAAATTTTGTTGCCATATTACAATTTGTTTCCCTAAAACAATATCCCATGTTAATATATAAAGTATATAAATTGTGTCTATAACTTTGAATACAATTTATTCTAATATTAATTTGCTAGATGAATGCTCACCCTGCGATGAATGCAAAATAGTCTGGAATGTTGATAGTACGTCCACATGATGAGATTTCCATATAATTTTGCTTGCATATTGTCTGAGAAAGAAAAATATTGATCGGTTTAATACACATTTACTTTTGCATATTATTTTATTTTCTAAATTAATAGCTATTCTGAACTTAATCATTGCAAGTTACAATTGATTCTAATTATACTTTACTTAAATTTGATATTATGCTGTTTAGTTTACCTCATCATCTGCCTCTTGAGTCACTTTAATCCCGATTTCTAAACATTCAAATCTCACAGGCACTTGTTTTATTTCTGCAGACTTTATTAAGCGCCAAATAGCCTTCTCAATTTGTTTAATATCACCTTTTGTACCAACATGCACAGAGCCACAATATTTTACCAAGAAGCCACTGCTTACTGTTTTATTTCCTAATTTAGAGATCTCCTTTTTTTTAGTAGTATTTACTTGATCTAATTGTGATGTCTGTATTAAGGATTTCATACTCTCTACACCTGAGTTTTTGATAAGATGCACTATTGGTTGATAAACTTCATCGGATTTTTGGGTACGATGCTAAAAACATACAATAAAGTCACATTAGTATATACATTTTTACAAAGAAATCCAGCTTATGATACAACTCTTGGGTTTTTAAGTTTTACTACTTTACAAATCATTCACGGTTTTTCACCAAAACTGGTTCAAAGTCGCAATTTTTTAAATTGAGGTAGAAAAACGAGTTTTAAAGAAAGGGATTTTATGAAAAGATAGAAAACCCAAAAAATTAAGCTTATGCTACAAATTTATCTTAAATTGAATAAAGAATTGTTATATGGAATTTTATAGCTATTTTTAAACTATTGTTTAAACGCATTTTTCTTCAAAAAATTAATTTTTGTCACAAACCGGGTTTGTCCAGAGAGAGTCACATGTTTTGAAAGATTATTTGCAAGATGTACGTACCTTTATGATATGTAATATTATCGGTTGTCCACTACCCTTTTTTATAATTTTACGTAATTTTCCCTTGCTATCGCCATTGATAATATTTTCATTTATCTCATCCAGTACATCACCAATTTCGACTTTGTTCTGATTTACATGCAACATGTAAATAATGTAATATTGAAAATTACTTCATTCAAACGGGTTTTACATTAGATATTTAGACATTCCTTACATCTTCAGCTGCTACCGATCTCTCGTCGACATTGACGATTAATGCTTTGTCGTTGGTGAAACTATAATATAACAAGGAACAATTAGAAAAATTTAACAAAAATTTTAACAAAAACATAAAATACTATAATCATGCATTATCTACAGATAATATGTTGAACATAACTTGAATGTCTATGCATAGATGTAATCTATTATAATTTACACATAAATGTCTGCAATTTTGCATTTAATTGACCTCTTTTGTGAGGATAAAGCACTCACCACACGGAAATGCCTAAGTTTTTGCAAGGAACTAGTTCGAAAACTCTGTATCTTGGCAGCTGCCAGGTGTCATCCAAGAAAGCTGCGTTTCTCAAGTTTAATTTAAAATTAAGTTTACTGCACTGCAATAGTACAGACAGTAGTATTTCTCGTAGAATGTCATCTCCCAGGATACTTTTGAAGTCGTAAAACTGGGTGGCTAAAGTTGGTATTTTGGTCTAAGGGTGAAAATTATAGATTATTAAAATTCTAAATTACAAATTTTTGTAATTCATTAATAAGAATACATGTCTGGAGTGTGTTTGGCACACTGTCTTACCAATATTTCCACTGGCATGTGAAAGCATCTTCGCACCAGACATATTCTTATTAAAAGACGAAGTCGTCCAGCAGATGTATGCACTTTTGAATTTTGTCTCACTTGCTCCGCCGCCAAAGAGAATGTATTATACGAGCTAAAAATCACATTGATATTAAATAATCAACATTAGTACAAACTAATATTTCAAATACTAATATTACTTTATTAATATTAATTGAAAGAACATTTGTTGCAAGACAGATAGAATTATATAAACAGACATTGAAGATAGAAAAATTCTTTTACTTGTATTTTTTCCCAGCAATGTATTCTAACCACTTCCACGCATAGGCTAGATTCAGATATCCAATGTTATCAAAAACAGGCAGTAAACCCTGTTGCAGACAATTCTCTAAGCATTTACAAAAGTGATACAAGTCCTGGTTTTCGTCGTTAATTTCGTTAGCGTGTTCTAACAGCTTTCGAGTCCATCCTGCAAGGATATATGAAATCTGTCAGAATAGTTAGACATCCATCATATACACATTCTCTTAAAAATCAATAAAATTTATAAAAAATGATTACAAACTGATATTACGTATAGATCATATCACATAACTAACTGCTTTTTAAAAAATATATATATTATGTAGTGAAAGAAAGCTGTAAATTTATGTTTAAATGACACATCTAACCTGTTTAATCACAGGGATTACCTTTCAGCTCTTTGATGAGAGGATCTGAGACCGACATGGCATTCTTCGCAATATATCTCTGTTAAATCACCCGCATAAATCCTTGTGGAAGGGGAGAAACAGTTTATTGCTGCAAACTGAACTTACATGAGTCAACCAAGTCTTAAAAGCGAGGCACACTTACGTCCAATCTGCATTGTATTATCTGCAACTACTCGTGTACATATCGACGACGGCGGCAGTGGAGTCGTGTGTGCGCTTGAATCGTACTCACTGCAAATTAAATATCGTGTGAATGAACACAGTAAGTATCTTTTATTTATTTATACGTATTGATATAATTTGATTATGAAAAATTAATACTAATAAATAAATAATGGTATATTATAGCATATACAGGATGAATCATTACAATCTATGGGATAATATAAATGGATTTATCCTTGAATAAGAATATAGAAAATTTCTAGAGGAATTATTGTTTTGCAAGAATTTTTGTAAACATCTACATTTAATTGCATTTTGCATTAACATTTGCGATGCGCAATCTAGCGGAATGTGCATATATAATTAGTATAACTAATACAACAAACATTTACTCAAATGATCTTGTTTCTGTATTTTTGTCGATAGCTTTTGACACTTAATAATAATTGCAGACAGTATAAATGAGTGAATATAAATAATATATTAATAATAAAGTATCAATATTTGTGTGCACATACTTGTTTATTATTCCATAGTATTTCATACAATTTCACTTGTAGAGAAAAAAAAGCGTTAAGTAGCTCGTTGAGAGTTTACTGTGTTTCGAAACACATATAGTAAAGGTTGCGCTGATAACTTTGCTGTTCTTACGATTCTAATCATGTAATAAAATTTACATTTGTTTCAGTATCTTCGCGACTGTTAACTGCGGCATCTGCTACGTCGCTTAATCACCTTCGCCATCAATCACCATCGTTTTGACAAAGCTTAAGTGAAGTCTCGAGGAATATTTCGATATGCCTGCACCGATTCTAGACATCGACAGTGTCAAAACGAAGGCATTGCAAATCTTCACCGAGAAATTCGGTGAGCAAGCCACCGTCTGCGTGTACGCACCGGGACGTGTTAATCTCATCGGCGAACACACCGATTACAATGAAGGCTTCGTGTTACCGATGGTAAATTTTGTGTCACGTGCTTTCTACATTCTCTCGCACTTTTATTTTTTTACTTTTCTCTTATTTAAAGTATGCACTATGTCTAAATTTGTTTTAAGAAGTAAAGTATGTAAAGCATAATGTAAATTTTTCTCTTTTGGTCGCGTATAGCTTTATATTTCTTTCTTGTTTTTTTTTTTTTTTTTTTTTGGTAAGTGTACCATTTTCTTTTTAGCGCTTAAAAAATGTAGAAAGTACACACGACACGAATAAATGTAAAAATAATTCAAAATTGACTTTATCTCGAGCCAGTTAGTAATTATTATTGAGAAGAAAAGAGAGAGAAAGAGAGATCGTACATATATTATGTATTATAATTATATATATACGTAAAAATATCAATTCAAAATGTTTTTACGATAACAGATACAAAGTTAACTTGCACCGGGTTGTCAGGGTCGCGTCTGATATCATTGCATTACGTATCGAACCACTGCTTATATAATCAAAGAATACAATTGAGATTCGTTCGACAAACATTCGACAAATGTTGTTTTGCGCCATTTTAACACGATTCAAATATCTGATGTGACATGAATCAATGAAACACTACTGTAAAATAATATTAACGCTTATTAACGCCTTCTAAAAGATTGGATATTATCGATTATTTGCAATTGCGAAAGTTATCATTGCGTTTGTCTTAATATTTCTGTTATTCTTAACACTACTATTACAGAATTTTTTTATTACAAAACGTTTTTGACGTTAAGTATAAAATAAGAAATACATTGTTTTTAAATTTCAAATTTTATTTCAAATTTTTAGCTAATATTGTATAGCATACATACATTTTTAAAAGAATTTGTCACGGCTTAACGACAGAGCAATAATTTATTAAATATGATATAATTTTTTTTTAATATTTAATATTTTCTAATTAATTATCAGGCACTACCGATGATCACGGTGATAGTTGGGAAGCCTCACGATGGTGTAAAAACAAAACTTGTTTCTTTAAGTGATGTGGTCGGCGCTACAAATGAAGCCGAATTCGAAGCGGGTAGTCGAGCTAACATAAAACCGGGAGAACCAAAGTGGGCGAACTATGTGAAAGGGTGCATCGCCAACTTTATTTGTATGTTGTTCTTGCCTTTCATTACTGCACGATTGATTTACCAAAGCTTGTACGGTTCCATATCAGACTATGCATTAATAAAGATAGAAGATTGCAAATTACAGATTGGAATTCAATCTATCAAAACAAAGTGAGCTAAAATTGAAATTATTTGATTGAATTCTAATCTCTAATTCGTAATTTTAATCTCCAGCATAGTTTGAACTTAATTTGTAGTAATTTTGTTTATCAAGAAAAAATTGAATATATATTATAAATTCTACTACCAGCAACAATAATTACATTGATAGAATAATCTCTATCAATAATACAATCAATGTGCATTTCAGGCGACGTTCCTGCGTTCAATGCTGTGATCGTGTCGACAGTACCGGCAGGTGCCGGTCTCAGCAGCTCGGCGGCTCTAGAAGTGGCGACTTACACATTCTTAGAAACGTTGAGCGGAAAGAAACCGGAGAAACCAGAAGAGAAGGTAATAAAGATAAGATAGCAGTTTTTAATTGATGTTCAATAATTATTAAACAAGACGATATAAAGCCAATAAAAAAGATAAAACAAGATAATATATGTATATAATTAATTAATTTTTTGTTCAGCAAATATTACTAAAATAAAATATTGTAGGCTTTGGCGTGTCAAAAAGCGGAGCACAACTTTACCGGAGTACCTTGCGGTATAATGGATCAATTCATATCCGTCATGGGTAAAGAAGGCTGTGCTCTTCTCCTCGATTGCCGAGATCTCATTACCAAGCAAATACCTATGCTACATATGGATAACTACATTTTTTTGATAACAAACTCCAATGCGCCGCACAAGTTAAGCTCGAGCGCCTATTGCGAGCGTAGAGATTGTTGTTTCGAAGCTGCGAAAATACTGGGCAAAAAAAGTTTAAGAGACGCAAACATAAACGATATTCAAAGTAACGACAGAATTTTATCTTTCTTAATTTTATAGATTTTTATTTTATATGAATGAATAACACACACTGCAAAATGAGACACTTTTTTGTTGTCTGAAAAACTAATAGTTTTCATAAAAAATGACGGAAAACCATGTTGATTTCTCAAACGACAGGCTCATATGCAGGGGAGTGTAATTATTTTATATTCATACATTGGAAATGATGGATTAACGTTTGCTTTCTAATCGTTCTTTTATATGATGAACTAATGTGTTTTCAGCATTAATATCACGAAATGCGTCCGATCATGTTATTAAACGAGCTCGTCACGTAGTCACGGAAATTCAACGAACCCTGGATGCTGCGATAGCGCTGGAGAAAGGTGACTTTCAGCAATTCGGACGATTAATGAACGAGAGTCACGATTCGCTGCGCGACGATTACGAGGTCTCGTCCAAGGAGCTCGATTCGCTGGTCTCGGCAGCCAGAGAGGTGGACGGCGTGTTGGGAAGCCGCTTGACGGGCGCCGGTTTTGGTGGCTGCACCGTCACTTTGTTGAGAAAAGATGTGGTTAATAAGACGATCCAGCATATGAAAGCAAAGTTAATATCTTTTCCATAGCTTATATTAATCCCTTAAACGTTAATAACGCACATATGCGTCATTTACAAATCATTAAAATTTTTTTGTTTATAGGTATGCTGGTATACCTGCATTCTACATAGCGACACCGGCCGGTGGAGCTCGAGAAATCAGCATAAATTAGTGTTATTGTTTTAAATATACACGTATATTTTATAATATTATAACGTTATTCATAGATAGAAATATGAATATGATTGATTTTATGAGATGTGTTGCTCATTTGCGTTTGTTGAATAGATCTTTTTTTTTGTACCATGACTGGAATTCTGGTACAATGAGATTAGACAGAAAGAGATGATGTCTTTGTAATTTATATATTTAATTTTGTGCCAATCAAATTCGGAGATAAATATACATGAAGAATAAACTCAGATTTATAAGATACAATTTTTATACAATGCTTTATTTTAAAGAAAACTTATTTAAAAAAGCGGAAAGTCAATATTTTTTGTCATTTTAAAGCGTAATTTGCATAAACTTGCATCAGTATTGCAAGTATTACACGTGAAAGTATTGCAAGTTTAAAACATTGAAAAAGTATCATTAATTTTCCGAGCTTTTAATTTGATATTCTTGAGAATAGAGCATCATGTAAAAACTTTACTCATTTTTTGGTCTAATTTTTATGATTAATTATTTCTTTTTCAGTTGTATCGTCAATAACGGACGATCTTGGTACATTTTCCTATTTAATCCGTTAAAATTAATTTAGAATTTGTTACGCTCTCTGAGAACAACCCAGCTTATAAAAATCAACGTTTTAAAACAAATGTATTGAAATTTTATATTTATTGTTTATTAATATAGTGATATATAATATTTCTTGTAGCAGATTTTGGTTTCTTTTAACTTTGCACTTGTTTTATAATAAATTTAATGTAAAGTTAATTTTTTCTTTATTTTCTGTCTTTTTAAAAATATGACAAATATAACATAGAGTTCTCTTTTTTTTAAACTCAATTTTTACCTCAATTTTAAAAATAGGGACCTTGGATTAGTTTAATGAAAGTAAATTATTAATAATGTTAAAAATACCAAAACGTAAAAACCCAAAAATTTTATTATAAGCCAGATTTTTTCGGAGAAAGTCACATATACATAAACTTAAGTTTTTATCTGTCGTAAATACAAAAATATTACACTGTGTACACTGCGCAAATTTACACGATACAAACTATTTTTATACTAGCGCATGAGGTCAAAAATACATACATATATGTACAACCTGTTAATTCAATAAGGTAAATTTGAAAGTAACATTGTTTCCCAATAATATTATATATAGATAGTTTGCTATCCGTAATATTCTCGCTCAATAATACTGATGCTCACTAAGGAAGAAAATATATCGTTTTATTGTCTATCATCTTGTATTCAATATCTATTGAGACTATCGGCTGAACTATTTGTGTGATCTGTAAAAATATATGACAGTTTTAGGAAGAAAAAAACGTCAAACTTGTAATTTACATTGTCTACATGTAGACATAAATTATTGTGTAGTTTACACATACATAAAAGTCGTTTTACCTTTAAGACAATCGTTGAGTTCGAGTTCGCTGGAGCTGCAAGTGAGCCCGGAAGGTTTTACACCTTTGAAGATTTCGATGACGCTTGGCTTCAAATTATGGAATATTAAGGGTTGGCTCCGCTTAGCAAAATCCTCTATCAAAGTTTTGATACCCTTAAAGATAGGAAAGTTGATGATAAAAGAAGTATAATATTTATTCGTGATTAATTCGTGATTAGCGAGTGATTCTTTTTATTATTTTGCAGTTTGTTCACCTTTGCAGCGGTGAAGTCGGCTGCCTGGATATGCGTGGAATCTATCACGACAGGTACAGTGGTACCCTCTCGCAATCCTTGTTTACTAATGACGGCTCGTACATATTCAACACTCGGAAACACCAGACTCCGATCCGGTGTTATGACGAGATATTCATAGCCACTAATACTCTGAAAAAAAAAAGGAAATATGCTAATGTACATTTTGAAAATTATTGTTATGTCGTACAAAATATTTTTTGAATCTTTCATCAATCTTTCTTCTAACTGAGAATGCAAATGTAACGTATAAAAAGTTTGGTGAATCTCAGAAAAATCGATTTCCAATTTAAAAAAGAATCTGTCGTCAAGATATTTTTTAGTCATGGAAAAACTCTTTATATGTTACAAAATTTTATAGAGCTACAAACTCACCGTAGCTTTGTGAACTCGTAAGGTCGGTCTGGCCGAAGCGTAAAGTAAGAACAAGAGATTTATGCCGATGCCGATCACTATTCCCAGTTCGAGTCGTATTAAAAGACAGCATAGAAACGTGGTAAAGGCCGGTATGAGATCAATTTCTAAAAATAATGATTTGTTATTACACAAAAAAAAAAAGTATCGAGAGAACATTGACATTAATTCTGTTTTATCCAGAATTTATGCAAATTTTTTGCATTACTTTCTCTCTTCTCTCTTTTTTATTTTATTTATTTATCTCAAAGAGAAAAGTACTTTAAGATAATAAATAGTTAATAAAAAAAAAACGGAATTCCCGAATTTATCTTTTCCGGAATATAAGAGAGAGATTCGTTTATAATAAATAAAAAAAAAACATACTTTTGCTTCGCCACATAGGCTTCAACACCTGAAATTCCACCGTGAAGACAACTGCGGCGATAATAACGGCTGCCAAGGCAGCCTTAGGAATATAGTACAAGTAGGGTGTGAGAAATTGCAACGATATAAGCACTAACACCCCGGTGTAAACCCCACCGAGAGTTGTTTTCACACCAGATGAGTGGTTGACCGCGCCTCGGCTGAGGCCACCGCTCACAGGCATCGACGATACGAATGACGACATCACATTGCATGCACCCAGTGCTAACATTTCTTGAGTTGCATCTATCGACTTGCCATCAGCTGCGGATATAATATTAATTTAATCATCAAAAACGCATTTATTTTATATAATTTATTTTAGGTTTAAATAAAAATATTTAATTTGCAATAAGTTGTTATGTTCGTAAATTAAGTCTTCTTACAGAATACTTTGGCGATGGAAATGGTTTCCAGCAGGCTCAGCATAGGTACGACCAAACAGCCGGTGCCCATAGCGGAAATCATATCGATGAAGGTGTAGGTCACGTTTCCGACCTGAGTTTCGAAAGGCGGCAGACGGAACTCCGGTAGTCCCTGTTTCACGTGACCCGTTAAAATTACGGGCGACTCTCCCAGGTGTTCCTCGAGAAGCCAGCACATCACCGCGCAGACGATGACTACAATGATGTTTCTGGCTGTGGAGATCAGCCAGAGCAACTTCGTGACGACTTGTTGAAGTTGCGACGGTACTTTGGTATTTTTCGACACTACTGACCAGTCTTTCACCTTCTTTAAAACATGAGAAATATGCAAATTTAACAAATTTAACCTAACCTAACCATTTTTTTTTCATAGAAATTACTTTTGATAATAAAGTGTTTTTATTTATTAACAATAGATTAGCTTCTTGCAGTCAATTAATACTGCACTTACTCGGAGAAATAGGAGAATGATTATGCAAACGATTCCCAAAGTGGTGTCCCAGTGCCTCGTTTCGCTGATATGTTCAAAGATACTTTGCCAAACTTGGACAAATTTAGTACCGGAAACTTTAAGCCCAAGGATATCCTTTACCTGGCTGGTGGCAATAATAATTGATGCTGCCGATGTGAAACCCACGGATACCGGTCCCGATATAAAATCCAGTAAGAATCCTAATTGCCAAAAGTAATTAAAATATATTAAAAAAGCATACATATATATACATAACATAGATATATACTTCATAAAAATAAAGCAAGGGGAGTACATTAAGTAATTAAGACTGTGAAGTTGCCGATCAATTAATTGATCAGTTTAATATTTTTGTAATATTACCTAATTGCAGAATTCCCATTAATAAAGAGACGCAGCCCGAGATGAAACACAATAATACGGCGAAGTCGGGTCCTAGATGAGCCTTTTGCAAAGTCTCTCTCGTTAGGATAGCGGCGATCGCGGTTGGTCCAACAGGTACGTCCTTCCAGGAACCAAAAATTGTATACACGAAACACGCCATAAAAGATGAGTATAGTCCGTACTATAATTCAAAAGTAACAGGTTTTTTTAAGCAAATATTTCAAGCTTTTATATCTCTTGATGCGTTCCAACGTTTCCTCGAACTTACTTGTAAAGGTAGTCCCGCGACGTTAGCATACGCTATGGCTTGCGGTATGACAGTAAGACCTACGGTAATACCGGCCAACAAATCACTCACTATGTATTCTTTTCGATAATTCGGTAACCAACTTAGGATCGGTATTTTCTTGAACAGCAACTTCATTCTACAGGATCTCCTCACCTGTCGATGAAGCCATCTTCTTCCGGAAGTACACAGGACATTCTTGTTAGAATTTTGTGATGCTAAACATATTTAAAAAAATATGTATATGAGCTGTAAAGTATATAGAAGCAAAAGAATACATTTGCGTAGAAAAATTACTCGTGAAAATTCTTTCGTAAAAATATAAAGATTTTAGTAGCGTTTTTGCAATTAATTTTTAGAAATATTTACATTTAACAAATTTCTTTCTTTATCATTGATTAAGAAAAAAATTATCTTTTCTCCAATAAAAACGAACAACAATGATGTAAAAAAGAATGAGAATCCAAAGGACGATTGTTGAAATTTTTGATATTTAAAAAACCATAATGTGATTTGAAAGATTTGCATACCAAAGGTCAAAGATGTGACATTTACAGAGTATTGTTTACGAGTGGACACAAATTAAGGAACATGCACCACGAGAAAATGACTTCATTACAGACCGTAATAAAGCTTCTACTCCGTCACGTTTTATTTTATGCATTGCTGTTATGTTGACGACGTCGCTGATAGTGGTATAATTTATTTTTTTACATTCATCAGCGGCTTTGTGGTCTCAGCAAAAAATAGAAAAATACCTGAATGCCAAGGTCTATTATTATTTAACACTACCATGTAGTGTGGATGGTTAATTTGACACAAACAAACATAACGGATTTTTTTTAGCAAGTTTGGCGAATATATTGATCTTTCCAAATATCGGTTTTGTGTGAAAATATCGTTTGAGGTGCGAAGTGATAGTATTTTTACACTTTAAAATTTATTTAAAATTAAAGATGTATCGCTTATGCAATATATGAGTCGAAATTATCATTACTTTAATGTGGTTCTATAAAAATAGAATTATATACGAAACGGAAGTTAAACAAAATAGATGCGATTTTAATCAAGATACAGTACAAATCATGTTTAATTCGCGTCACATCTTTGAGATTATCACACGTGAAATTCAAGGATGCGAAGTCCGCGGTGTGGTTGCTATATTATCATTAGACACACCTGAGTGAGGTGCCAATTTCCGTGAATTCCGCATTTCCGACGTGAAAAGCAGTTACGTCTTATGACCGTCTATCCGTCATGCGATCTTATTTCGCCGTTTACGTAAGCATGCGGTACATTCCATCGACATATATTTTTCATTAACATTATCATAAAGTAAACTAAAGTAGTGTTATTTTACTCATAACGAAACAGTAACTGCTTCAGACATAAGCAGTGCATTACATTTACAATGATTAATTAACATTCAGATTGACGTAAATCGCGTAACTCGATACAATCGCATCTCATTATCTTCCCTCCATAAATTTTGCCGTTTACATTATTGCTCGTTCTAACTGACTTGAGTTTTGAGATAAGCTTTCTATTGTAAAGCCGACTTTTTTAACGCTATTAAAATAATTCCTTCTTTCGAATAATTTTAATGACTACCTTCTTTGAGTTTCTTCAGGAAAAAAGAATAATTTTGTATAATATTTTATACGCTGAATTCGAATCCACAGACAAAAAGTGTCTAATACATCAGAATTTTGGTTAATCAAAGAAAAATGTGTCAATAATTTTATCATATTCGCAATGCTGTTTCCAAATATTTTTTCTTTGCAATTTTGTTTGCGCTATCTTAAAATATTAATTTTTTCTTTTAAAATAAATTTTTTAAATATTTTTATAGTTTTAATTAATGCAATAAAAATTAATTTTTCTAAGCCTTCATAAAAATTCAGCTTAATCATTTGTATCAAACCGTTGTCTATTACACAGCATTATCGAAAATATATTGAACGCTTTTTATGTAAATGATATACTATCTACGCAACGTTATCGAAAATGTATCATGGAGGCGATTTATATCAGAGCTGCACAGTTGGCCGAATATGAGTAATTCTATTCATATCATTCGCAAAAAGCGATCGCAAAGAGTTTTCTGTCTCTTTCTAATTAGTTATACCTTCCCTTTTACTCTCTATTACCGCTCTTAGGCTTTTTCCCAACCACTCTCGGCGTTCCTTGAATAACGGCAAAGTGGACGGCTTTGATACTTTTTTTTTGTAAATTTAATTTTTTTATTTTGTGAGAAACACTTAGTAGTTCAAGATGGCGATAATTATTTTAAAAAAAATTAATTTTTTAGAATAGCTTTGTAAATATGGTCAAAAAGTTTATTTTTGGGACACTTTTTAGTTTCTTAAAATCTTAATGTGATACGCAATTTTCAGGCCAAATTTAATGGACAAAACATTATGAAAAACTATTTTTTTTTTCCAAACATTAAAATAACATGTCTAATTTTGCAGACTGGTATTATAAAAATATATAATATAATTCTCTGTTACATACAAAATAAATAATTATTTTCGTACAAGAAACAAACACAGTTATATAAAAAAAATTAATAAATAGTATGATTTTTCTTAACACACACGCACGCGCGCGCGCTCATTAACTAAATTTAATTAAATTTTTTTTACTGTGATAAAATTTCAAGTAAATGCATTGTTTTGTTTTTTGTAATTTCGATCGTTCGTTCATGTAACTTTGATAATCCGTAGATATATCAGCGTTGATATTTTTTTGCTATCTAAAATCGTTTGAAATCATACAAACAAAGTGAAGAAGATACAAATATCGATAAATAATCTATACGAGAAAATATATAAAAGATAATGATTTATTTATTTAAACGTATATATATGCTTACGTGGAATAATGCGCTTGTGTCTAAGACGTCGTAGACACAAAATGTATATCGATCGAAATAAGTAGACATAATGACGCTAATTACTGCTAGCTTGCAGAACTAGTTTTGTGACAAAAATGTTGCTTTTTACAAACCTATTATTGCGCTTTAAAATAGTATTTTTTCATATCAGTTAACATATCAGCAAAGTATAAAAAAAAAATATAAAAATATAGGCTAATAGGCAAACGATACTCGAATATTTTGACAAATACTTGAACAATGCAATATTTCTTTGGTGCATCGCATATCTTTCTTATCATATTTAGCATTTTGTTATTGTTATTGTTAGTATTTTGTTATCGCAAGTTAATCAGCTTCGAACATTTCAATTGCAAATATATTTCTAGATTACATTTATTTCAAATTGTTACGATTCCTATCACAGCTGCACTCGGTTTCCGGGCCGTAAGAAACATTTATCGGGTTCTCGTAATTTATGTTTTATCATTTGGTATGCAAATTGTTTGCATAATTTGTATAAATATTTTTGCGTACAACTTTGCAAGATAATATATTTATTTAAAGAAAAATATGATTGCTACTATCAAAAGCTGTCACAATGTAACGCGCGTGTGTAAATTCACAACGCGTAACGGGAATAAATTATAACAATTTCGATGAAGACAATCTACCTTGAAACAATTTTTCCGATAGCAAATGTTATAAAACACTAAAAACGATCGTTCAACCGTGAAAGTGAAGGTCAGTATACGGTGCGCGACTATTTTTGCCAAGTTTTGCCGCTGTTTCCGCCGCTGTCCTACTGCCGCGTGACGCGCAATGTCGCGCATTCAATCGTACACCGATTATTTTTCTATTTTTGCATAAATTTAATATACTGGAAAAATTTCGCATGAATCGTCGATAAGATGTGCGTGCTAATAATTTGCTTTTCTTGGCCAATTTTGAACTATTTTTTCCCGAGTGATCATTTTTACGATTTTCCAATTTTCATCCTTTATTATGCTAATACACATACATGTGCAATTACCTTCAAAGTTGACTTTTGTGTCTTTGGTGATGGCGTGGACATGGCTTCCAATTACATCTCCCGGATTTCCGTTCAGGGCGTTTGGCTCGTTGTTGTTGCTGCGAAGAACGTCGTCGAGCGTATTGCTGCTGAAGCCAGTCAGCATCACCTCCCTGCGATTTCTTTCGTCGTACTCGTCATTGACGTTATACCTGGACATGATAGCAGTTGCCTGAGATCGACGAGATCGACCGAGGGCGAATTCAAATGAGACGCGTCCTTCGATATCGAACGATCGGCGCCGACGTAAAGCTGATGCTGCCTTCTCAGGTGGACTCCATCCTGTCGAGAGTACATTCGCGATTGGGTGACCCTGAAGCAGAAAAACGAGTAGACTCATTTATCATTTGCGCGTATTGATACCACATTGGTTTTTCATCTATCCTTAGATCTCTAATAATCTCCGCGATCGACATATATACTTTTAATCTTATGAAATACTGGATGATACTTCCATCCGGCGGTTATTATTGTGATTACTGAAGCGGAATCCGCTCACTATTATGAAACGCAAAACTTCTGCACAGAACTTGAAATCGGTTAACTTCATATAATTGTAGCATCAAGAATATATTACATTAGTTGTGTGATAGCTGAAAGTTATTAAAATTTAAAAAATTTAAAGATTTGATTTTTACACATACGATCAGTGTTTGAAATAACATAGTATCAATTTTATTATTTTTAAAATAATTTATATATATGTTATTTATTTATTAATTTTTTTTAATAAGATGATAAAGCAAGTGTCAAATTGTGTCTAAAAATATATTGCTGGACAAACACCACTTCAATCGATATGTTATAATTTTTGAATGAATAATTATCGAACGTGATAATCGGCATGCACTTTAAAAACAAAGTCTTATATAAAAAAAAATCTTTAATTAGGCACAATTTTCTATTGATATGCCTATGTAAAAGTCTTATCGTCACGCTTGATTATTCCGGATAACCGTAAAACGCGTGGCTACGTGTGAAACGCGATTGATTATTCGTAAAAAAAGAAAAACACTAATTACCCAAAAGTAGTGTTATAATTATCGAAATTAATGGTATTATTTGTTTTCAATCAAAATTTTATATGCGAAATTGCGATTGTATTTTGCGAGCTGCAATTACAATAATAATCTATGATTTCATTTCCGATTTTTGTTTTAAAAATGACGTGTATTTGAAGAATCATATGTAGAAATGAAAACAAGTTTTTACGCTTGAAGCAACAAATGTCAAATCGGAGTCACTTTGTGCGATCTGCCGCTCGTTTCAGTATCAAGCTCATTATGAAGCGGAAGTATGACGATACCGGAAACCAGCGTTTGATGTTACACTTCAAGTGAAAAGATGAACGTGCTAGGAAATCATTCGAATTACGTATGTAATCGCGGTGCAGTTTCGTGTACGAAAGGTGTATAATTCTTTGCGAAATCCTAAATACAATAATTTAATTGAACAATGTCACATTTATTGAGGTAACTCGGAATGGAATTATCTTGGAAAGATGTTTACATAATTAATTTAGTATTGTAAAATATGATTAGAGCCTTCCTTGTATCAAAGAAAAGAAAGGAAAAGAGGGAGAAAGAGAGAGTAAAGAAAGAGAATAAATATCATTCTTATAATTGCATATCAACCGTATCAGAGGCGATCAATATTATGTAAAATGATATCGAGAGTCATGAATGATACCGCGTTATAATTGCAAATCGATGCTTGGGAAAAATAATCTGATTGCAGTTTATTTTTCGTAACAATCTTAGCGATGAAACGATACGAATGATATTTTTAATGATAATTGGGTAATTAAATTAATTATTTAAAAAATATAATCAGTTTCTTTCTTCATTTTTGGAATAGACTATTTTTATGAAATAAATATTTTTCTGTACGCTAATAAATTTGTGTATTGTTTCGAAAGTGACATATCGCGAATGCAAATTTTCAGCACGTCGTGCAAATTTCGTGGGCTCGCGATTACAGCATAAGGAAGTATATCGGAGGTCTATCAATGGTTTTTACCTTTGACATCGCCAGACACCGTAACTGAAAAAAATATCGCTTTGGTCAAGGCTCCCGCTTATAAATCGAGTCGAGATCGGCAAATACGGTGACAATGTTTACGAAACTTTGAGAGAAGTTCTACGATTTTGACATTACGTTTCGAAAACAATGAAATGCGTACGAAGAATGCGTACAGATGTAACAGCAATTAAACACAAAAGACTTGGCTTTCACAAATTTTAAATAATTTTTTCAAATTAACGTCAAATAATTGTAACAATTTAAACCTCTTGTTTCAGAAGAATATAAAAATTTAGAATATGCGACGGTCTATAGAATTTGTCTCGTAAAATTTTTTATCTGCGGACTTGATTTTAAAATCTATACTGGCGCATATTAGCGTTGAAGGCATTCGATCAAATATTTTACACTTTTTTTTATTAATAAAAAAGACATCCGTTATTCCAAAAAATTGCTCGATACATTTCATGCGAAATCACATATATGCCTAAGAAATTTGGACATGCGAGTTTTTTGTGAAATTTCGTCTTTTCGCGAAACATCGCGGTGTGAATTCGCGCTGTTTGCTCGTTTCACTTATCTACAGTCACTGTACATAAGTAAGCGCGTGCGAAAGTTTATTAGAAGGCCTATAATCCTACATAAAGGCGGATCATGCTTTCTCCGGCGCGATTTCAGCGTTAAGTGTCGCGGTCGATTCGTATTCTCCCACATAAATCCGCATATAATCACATTTCAAACGCATGCCAATGATTTCTTTCCCCCTGCTTAAAACGCGTGAATGCTGCAAAGTGTGCCGTCTGATTTCGCATTTGACGTTCGCGGCTTTTCATTATACATACATCTTATTCGCAGGACCTGCAGATAATTAATGAACCATGCGAGCGCACCTAATATAAGCATACAAGTGATGTTAAACGGACCGTTGAAATATTCTCCAATATTCTGCGTTTGCTCTCGCGTTACGCTTTACATTAAACAATAAGTTATCTTGATATAATATCAAGATAAAATTTATATTAATTTGTGTATACAATTTCTCGCATTAATCAGGATTATAAGCTTTTTGATTTCAAATTTTGATTCAAAAAGTTTATAATTTTTTCCACCCGACACCGGAACATCAACACCTTTCTCACCTTATTATTTGCAAATTTTAATTTATTTTACGTTTTGTAATTTTTATTTTTTATGTTTCCTCGCATACTACATTAAATCAGAACATACTCACCTCTAATTGCCTCTGCAATATAACACGTGATAAGACATGGCTCCATGTTCCGCATTCATCGTCAGGTTGGTGAAAACAATAGTGAATCCGCCGGTGTGATGCGACGTGGAACGCAAGGACGTTCACCGTTTCGTTTTCCTCTTCCTCGTGGATATTACCTGCCTAACGCACGATTGCTGGCCGCGCGGATATGCCGAAAAAGTGCAATGTGGAGAATGAAGTTCGGGAATGTGCGCGGGCGGGTTTCGTGTCTGCACAACGTTGCGGTCAATCGTACAAGTCACCGGACTCTCTCGCGGAGCGACGGAGTGGAAGCGGCGGCCCGTTCGCTCAACTCACCTGCGCCGCGCAATCTGACAGTCGCAAATTTGCTTTTGCGTTATGCACTAGTGGCGTTGCCCCGCCATCGCACCGAATCGCCATGTGCTCGTATCGCGAATGTTGAGATCTAGGGAGAGGAAGTAATCATTCCGCCGAGATCTCTTTCGTCTAGATATTGAATTGAATTATTCCTTCTTTCCTCCTACGTCATGGCATCAAGTTCTTCCCCGGTCTATATAAACTTCTTGATTGACGAGCAACACTAATGAAAGCGGATTTTAAAACTTGAAACTAATTATCGGCATTAACTATCTAATTTAATCCTCATTATATTGCTATATTACATTTTGTTATTCTACTGTGCTGCATGTGTACAAAATATTTTATTTTTATGATTATTATTTAAAAATTTTGTTGCAAAAAGCAATTAAAATAGGTAAAATAATTTAAAAGTAATTACTTATCCAACATATAACTTGTCTTAATTGTTAAATGTAAAGCAGAAAAGAAAAGATTTTTTATATTGAAATTTGTGGCAAAAATTCTTATAGGATAATTGTTTTCACAATTTATTGCAATTTTTCCAATTGTAGTTTTTATTTAAAAATCATTATTAATGTATTTTTTTAATCCACACACACATACAAATTAATTTTAATATTTAATTATTTAAAATTAAAAACGATTGATTTTTATAAACCATGAACTCTTCTTTGAATGAAAGCGAAATGATGTCATTACGCGTACTGGGAAAAAAAACTCTTGAAACAAAAGCGTTTAATTTGCAAGGAATAAGTCTATCGCACAAGCTATCAACAGACACGTATAATATACTTCATTCAAAGGGGATTTATTGGCGATAATTTTCGAATACATTTGCGCAACTGAATAGATTGTTGTTTTACATTGTCGCGTAGTATAAATCTGTATATGATAATATTAAATTCTAATAACGGCTTGCATCGCAATGGCATATCCTATTACATATGTCAGTTTTCATTATTTAGTTACAATAAAAAATTACAATAAAAAATAAAAATGAAAAAAATTGCGAGCAAAAATTAAATTTCTTAGAACAATTTAACGCACCTTTACTTGCGAATATTGCGTTTATGTAAATTTCTCTTCGATCGACATGTTTAGTCGGAATGTGTAAAAATAAAAAATAAAAAATAAAAAATTGCAACGATATGCGGTTGTTCTGCGAATTTATAATGTTCCACGTAATCGATATGTCTGCATATCGATAATTCGCTATAAAGTGTAGTGATCTTGAGAGTTAATCGGAATTATGATTCCGATAAATTATTCGTAGAGTTCTTCGTAGAGAAATCATAATTTATAAAAACGATAAAAGCGATAAAATAGCATAATTGAACACGTGTTTGCATTTTTATAAACATGTAATTTGTGCATACACGTTTTATCAATTCAACCAGTATTAGGAAAAATATGCGTAACATTACGCATGATATGGATTAAGAATTCTTAAATTGAAAGAATGATCAAACCGTTAACAAAAGAAAATTAAATAATTGTGTAACAAAAACTTTATGTCGATTATTAATGACACTTTACGCTTCATAAAAATAGTCACTTTATGCTGCGTGATGGAAAATTCTTAGATTATTAGAGATATGTAACAATTCGGAATAGGATAGAAATATGAAAAACCAAACAAAAATTATAAAACTTGAAGAAGGAAAAAAGTAATATTAATTTTATCAATATTAAACGTAATTATTATACAATATTAATACCTGAAAATTATGTAAAAATTCTTTAAAATTTTTTAATCGAAACTTTTAAAATTTTATTACAGACTTTTGTCGATGACCTTATAACGTGCAATTGACATATCGAGACGTTTTGAAAATAGTATAATAAAAGCATTTCTTTTGTTAAAAACTTTGTGAAATATTTTCCATTTTATTATTCTGACATAAAATATCTTGTCACATATTTATTTTTCAATCATTTTTTTCTAATATTTTTATATATAAAATGATAAAACTAATTGGTTTCTTAAAAGGCAAAAGATATGTTTTGTGAAAAATTTATATGATAATGAATCGTGGTAATTAGGTACACGAAGGAGATAAGCGGTCTGCATAAAAAAGACGAAAACTTGTTTTCAATTTTCATAAAAATTCGATTGAAATCGAATGCAAGCATATAAAAATTTTTGTATATTCCGCCAGCATGGTAATAATCACTGTTTACCAACGGGGACATTACATAATTTTATGTTCGGCATGCAACGTCAGCGATAAGGAGTGCAATTCTTTCCTTTACTGACCGGATAATTTTTACTACCTATTTGCCCATGTTTTCCATCTTGGAATTTTTTCTATCCTATCTTACATGATATGTACGCACTATGCTCATGTATATCTTGCGAACGGAATTAACTTAATTACCGCAATGTGATTATTGTAATGTAAGTCTAATTTAATGAAAGCGTCTACATGTATACGTAAAATACTTATTTTTTTATTAACGCGGGTTCAATTAACTTAACTTTATTTAATTAAATTAATAGTGAACTAAATTAAGCATACTTATTATAATCGTAACTTTTATGGTGTAAACAATGCATTCCACATCTATAATATTATGTCTTATAAGTTTTTTTTTTGTGAAAATATTTTTTTTAAATATTTTTACATAGTAGTACATTTTTTTAAAATAAAAAATTGATTATTATTATCATTCTGCATATGAGTATAAATTTTTAGATTTAAAGGCGTATATCAATTATATATTATGCATATATATATATAAAATCACAGTCTTTCAGATCTACATCTACGTGCGTGAAGCATGAAAAGTAGTTGAAAGCTAAATTGGAAGATAAAATCTGTTATTAAAAAATTAGAAGACTAAATTAAATATCAAGTGCTGTATTTATATTTTGATAACACGTGTAACATAATTTTATGTTATCGAACTATCGAGTTGTTTACTAACAAATTTGGCAATAAATTAAAATAAATTTGGCAATAAATTAAAATAAATTACTGATTGAACTTTGATTTATCAATTTAAATGAGATACGATTTACAAGTATGTATTTGTGACGTACTTAGGAAGTAATGATCGTATCTGTGGATTGAATGCGAATTCAAATCACGTTATTCTTGTAACGTTGTTACGTAAACGTGAGCACTCAATTTTCTATAGAAATACCAAAGAAACTATGTTTGCGTACAAATGTATCTCATTACCATCAAATTTTACACGTCGTATTTCACGATATTATGATTATCCTTCGTTAATCTCCACGATGTAAGCATTTAAGATAATAACAATATATTATAGTTTTTACAGACATAAGATATGTTTTATAATATTTTTTATTATAATATATATATTTTGTGATTAGCTTAATAAATATATTATAATATGTACAATATTAACAAGGAATGTACTAATATTGCAATATTTCTCGCAATTATATCTCGCACAAATATGCATGTGTTTCATAATTTATAGACAATGGGAACGTTGGTAATCTACTTCTGAAAAGAATTATATTTATGAAAAAATAGGACGATCGCGAGCAATATCTTATGCAATATGCATTATGATTGATCCGCATGAATAATTTGTTGCAAAAACGATGGAAGCTTTTTTGCTATGCGTCATATTAACGGCAGATAAGATGAATAATCATTTTAAACGCTTTGTGAAAAAAATAGAATAGCATTGCGGGCATATTTTAAGAATACATTCATATAATCCTAAGTTCTGTTATAAAAGCTTTTTATAACAATAAATATATTATACCGCCGAAATGGCATATAGTGATGTGCTCACGAGAAACATTTTTGCTCTACTAACAATATAACTGATTACGTGATTGATTACGTAAAACAGAAAAGTGTTTTAGAATTGTTTATCCATATTATGCCGCCCATTATTATTTAAAATAACTATCGTAACCATATTACGTTTTGATATCTATCGTGATATGTGTATAATGAGCTATACGAAGAAAAACACCGATTAAATGAATATTCTTTTAAAGAAACAGAAAAATGAAAAATTACTTTTTGGTTTTATAAATTTTAATATTCATATTTACGTATATGGAAATAAATTTAGTACAAACTTAAGTCATAAGCTGTGTACAAGATACATTTTCTTATCCTTTACTCCTCTTCTCTGTTTTGTCCTTCCTTTATTATTAGATCTAAGATTACGTGTGATTTTGTCAAGAATCGTAGAAATAAATTGCGCATGCCGAGCAAATTTTATTTTAATAATACAATCAACATTATGTTTAATTGTATAATGATATGGTACTGAAGGATTCATCTCCGCAATCGCAATATTCTTGCGTTAATTGCGGTTACAATGTAACATCCTGCTAATATAGTACAATCCGGCTGGGTAATTATATCGTTTAATCGCAGATTGGCTTAAATCTTGGAACGCGTAACAATGCATTACGCGCATTTCTCGCAATATTGGATAATGGTATGCATTCTTTTTATCGGCATTTCCATATCTTTTTTTTATCTTGCAAATTTTTGTGTGATTTTCTATGAATTCTTATAAAAAAAGTAAGATTTTTTTTATAGGATATAAATTCTAAATAATAATAGATTTTTTAAACAAAAATCGGTGAAAGAAATATTCATGAAATATTAATCCGAATAGTTCAATAACAATTTATAAGTATAAATATATAATAAATCACACCTTTAATCAAAGATTGAAAATCAGTTATAATTATGAATTATGATTGTCGATTATAATTATGAATATCGATTCGAATGTATCATTTTACAGAAAAAAATTAATTTACGATATTACGCATACGCATCTGCCAAACATGCATTGAGCAAGTTCGAGTGAACACACAAGTACGCTGTTTTTTCTAGTTGAAGGATGCGCACCGTATCGGAAACATGTAGGCGGGGCGACGCAGTTGCACTGTACATTTTTCCGTTCATTTAGTAGTGCGTCTGATTGCGCGAGCTATCATTCGTACAAGCATTGAAAAAAAAAATCAGTTTATACTACTCGAATTGTTTTTGCACATGGCGAAGAAACAGTCCTTCTTTCAACAGAATGTCTTGTTTTTTTAATATCTTGTTTATTGATCTGACTTGATTTTTAGTCAATCTGACTCGATTGTAGTTAGTGCAACTAAATTCTGTTCAACTCTGAGACTTGGTTGCCAATACACAATTTTTTTTCAGTGAGAAAAACTCAACGAGATAATGTCGCTTCTCTCAAGTAAGTTTTGCATTTCTTGTGCGTTGCTTTATTCGTACTACTTTCGATCAATTTAACTTATCGCCTTTGCATTTCTCATTACTTGTAATGATGCATTGCGACACTAGCGTACAAAATTAAGTGGACAAAGTTATTCCATCTCTTTATTTCACATTTTTGCATATACAATTTTCTTCATTATATTATTTTGCTTTATGTTTTATTATTTGTTTTAATTTTGTAATTATGTTGTTTTTTATTATTGGCAATATTTCACAAACAAAAAAATGTAATAAGTACATGTGATTATAATTAAATATCTTTATTTAAGTAATGCTACATTTTTTTTAAATAAAATCACGCACTCTCGTAGCAGTCGTGGCCGAGTGGTTAAGGCGTCTGACTAGAAATCAGATTCCCTCTGGGAGCGTAGGTTCGAGTCCTACCGACTGCGAGAAAAGTGGTTTCTTTTTTCAGAAATATTTGCGCGAAGATAGTAAAGCTATTTTTTAAAATAATTTTTTGTTTTTAATAAATTTTTGTTAAAGTGATTTTTATCTACTGAATTGTATTGTAAAGATCAAGTTTATTTTTTATATAAAATTTTAAAAATAAAATCAAGTTGAGAAAGCTGTATCCTAAATAAATTAACTCTTTGTACCTTCAAGCACCTTCCCAAACATAAATTATTGAGCATTCCACTGCAAATATGTCATTTATACATTTCTTTCAATTAATAATAAATTTTTATATTATAGTATTTTTTAAAAAGATTTTATATTATTTGTATACATAAATTAAATTTTAATAGATACATCTATATATTGTAAAATTGGAAAGAGATACAACATATAAGCAACTCGACATTTGTTTTGAAAAGTAACACATATACATATATGCATCATTGATCGTTAGAGTTCAAATTTCTATCTATTATTGTTAGTTGTTATAATCACATTTAAAGACAAATCATTATAGCATCTGATGGAATTGCATTTTCTATCTAAAACTACATTATCATCTTTGCATCCATATATCATTCAATATTCGGAATAAACACACACAAATCAAAATAATCTATATATTTATATACATATAATATATTATTAAATAGCTTAATATTTAAAATATTTTATAGTTAATCAATAAATATATTCATATAATACAAACAATAAATAAATGATAAATTACTTATCTTAAAGTTGCTTCGCTAAAGCCCAATATCCCTCGAACATCTTTTTTTCCATCGATGATTAATTACTCGACAACGGCTTCTTTCTGTGACACTTATAAAACACATTACAATCGATTAATTAAAACTGTGCAATATTCATACTATTATAGTATTATAATTTCTTAAACACATTTAATACGGCCAAGTGATGACATTTCTTTTCATTTGCGCTGATTTGCGCTAAGCACTTGTTTATATTAATGTTGTATCGAGGCGCAAGCGCAAAAATCCAACTCCTAATCGTAACATTGCGCAGCAATGGGGTGGTAGAGGGTGCTCGGATCGATGCGGTGGTAGCGGCCGAGAGTTTTCATGTCGCCGACGATTCGGTTTCACGCGGCTCGTTCGCCCCAACTCGGTCAGGCGCGACGCTCATTGACAATTGCTCGATCGTCGTCTACCCGGCAGACAGAGTGGACGTTTCGTGCGAGTATAATTGCCTTCTTATCTACCTATTTATTCGCGCGGTCTGCTCAGTATGTCTTTCCTTCGGCTTGTCGTGTACGAATCCACTCGGCTGTTTCCCTTTAACAGATCGTCCCGCGGTTGTCAAGTATAAATCGCAACAACGCGCCGCTTACTACATTTTTCGGTTTATCTGCCTGATAATCGTGACGCCGTTTATGACATCATTGCGATATGAGCACAAATGCTCAACCAAAGGTGACGATAACGATTGGCAGAAGATTGACGAAGTCGAAATATCGTGGCCAAGTGATAGGACGTCGTGCGGATATCGAGCGTTAATCGTGAGTAATAGCTTCCTCTGATTCTCTTATTGCGCTTGACAAAGGGAGGGAGTGGCTCGACGAAGAACAGGGGGTTGCTCCGCTTCGCTATGCCGACAGTGATACGCGGCAATCGTGGTGCATAAATGTGCGAGGGTGTCGCGCTGCTCGCAACACTCTCGAGGTCGGTGTACCGCGCGCGCACCGATGGTGAACGTTTGACATTGTATTTTTTGCCTTCCACTTTTTCTTTCGCAAAACGCGGCGAAGGACGCGAGTAAAAGCTTTTACTAAACGTTCTCAGAGATTGATTCACCCCGTTCTTGCGAGTTGTAGTCTTGCGACGCGTAATATTGTTGTTAAATCATTCATCGCGCAATGTTCTCTAGAAAGACAATAGCGTGGAAGAATTTAAAGTCAACATGCGACTATTTTATAAAGTATAATTAGCAGAAACTCGAAAAATTTGAGAGAAATTCAAATGTGATGACTGTAGATAAATAACATTTGTTTTGAAAAATAACACATATTTATATACGCATCATTGATCGTTAGTGTTCAAATTTCTATCTATTATTGTTAATTGCTGTAATCACATTTGAAGACGAATCATTATAGCATCTGATGGAATTGCATTTTCTATCAAACTATATTATCTTTGCAGCCATACATTATTCAATATTCGGGGTAAAATCCATTTTGCTAACAGTTTCCCTTTGCTTTGACATCGACATTCAATATCCTAAAAAAGCGACAAAAAATATATCATTTTTATCGATCCATCGATATCCATCGCGATAGTCTAGTAACCGATTTTCTTCGTTGCTTGTTTTATATAATTCCATACGAATAAACACGCTTTGTCGACAAGCCCGAATGTCAGATAAAGCGACCTCGAGATAAGAGGATTAAGTATTGCTTGCTCGCACACGTGCACGTATGCATCGAAAGCGAACGAAATCACGCATTTTTTTCTCTTTCCATTCACGCGCATCGCGTCGTATGCATTGCGTTATCACATTCTTTTATCTTTTTCGATGTTGTTATAGCATCTGCATTATTTCGCGCATACGCGGAAATCAAAATCGTAATCAAATAGACAGCAGCGGAATTCCTCGAATTATCATATTTATTAGGCAAGATAATAGAAAACGATTCTTGTGATGTAAAAAAACAGATTGAAAATGTAAATTAAAATATTTTTGTATACAGCTGTTTTTTAGAAAGTCAATTTTAAAGACAATTTAAAGATCCATCAATTTTCTAGATTTTCTAAAAAAGCAATTTTAAAGAAACATTTTGCTAAAAATGAGACAACAAATTTGATTGGCGTATTTCGAATTGCATCAACGTTAAATCGCTATAAATTAAAAATAAATCTGTCTAAAGGTGTATTTAAAAAGAAGACACTTAGTTTCTTTTATTAAGATTTCTTATTACAGAAATTGCTGAAAAATATTTGTTAATTGCACACATTGTGTTCTATAAAGTCAGTTATTATCTTTTTAAATATATTATCCGTTCTTAATTGTTCAAATGTTAAAATGATTTACGCTTGTAACACTGTAATATTTTTTCGACCTCTTCAGAATAAACGATCAATTTAATATAATTTTATAAATCAAGAAAGGTGCACTTAGCCGCTCTATTAATAATAACGGGAGCGGCTGGGAGAAAGCTTTGGAGTAGAAAGTTTAATAGGAAAAAAGTCATAACTAGTTAACAGAGATAAAAAAACGTTCGCGATTGTTATGAACGAGTGAGTGGAAGTAGTATTGCTCGAATTCCGCTCGATGCGTGATTCTGCTGTAAATAAAATTTTTGTATCTAGCTGAACTCGAGTAATACCACTAAAAAAATTAATACATTTATAGGAAAACTCATTATTGAATAATTATTTATTTTGTCTTTACTTTTACATTTTTATTACATAAATCATTGTATATCACTATAAGTCGCACAATAATATAAAATTTGTTCTGTATTTACCATTTTTAGTTCGCAAAGATTTAAATTTAAGATTATCTGCAAGTTATGTTTGGACACTTTCGATTGACATACTGCGTTTCTCATCCCCGTATCATCTCACAGCAGAAAAATTAACCTCTAATTCTTTATGCTAATTGCTTTTGTTCTTTTTTCTTGGCTTTTCCGCATAATTCAGTAATTACAATCTCGATTATTATCGTTTACTTCCGTCGATTACAATAGCTTTGTCACTCAAATCTGTAATTAAATTGTCAGTCTTTGTCAGTAACAAAGAGCAATCGTTGTGCTGCAATTAGCGACAACGATAACTTCATTGGTGCACGCGGTGATGGCCATTTTATTACATATTTCCACAGCAAAATAAATTACTTCTGCTTCCGCGTTCGTCTTAATGAATCATTTCTTTTTAGCATCGCTAAATGTCAAGATCCCGAATAAAGGTTCGAGCATCGAACGACCTGTGCCATAAAAAATTACCGATAGTTCATATCAAGATTGAATTGAGTATTAAATATTTTCCAACAGACTGAAGGCATGAGCGATTCACTTTTTGTGGGCAATAATTAAGTGTGCCGCGTATTTGTCATTTATGATTTGTGAAATTTGCATTTTTTAAGAACAATTTATCTTTTCTTTACAAATCATAAAAGAAGCGTAAAAGAAACAAAAAAATTATTGCACAAAATTGAAATTATAAAATTTCATTGCGACTTTGCATTGCATAATAGCTAGACTCTCTAATCTGGAACATTACTGAATATATGCGTAGAAGAATCGATTGAGTTTCATTTCCAGTCGCAATGACAAATTTGTGCACCGTATTTAGTGCTTCAATGTTCCAAACATCTTTGACCATTCGCCTGAGGATGTTTCGGTGAACTGCAAAGGTGCAGGACGATGTTAAACTCGGGACAAAGTTGTGCAAACTCTTGCAAAGTGAATTGAGTACCGTTCTCGAAAATTAGTACCTACCTTTGTTAGAGCCTTAGACACGTGGAAGCTTTTATCCGTCCATCGAATGTACGATGCAGTAAAAACATAATAATGTCAACCGAGTTGACATCTGCAATGATTAGAGTTTGTTCGAGACCATAGTATGCCAAAATAAATATATACCCTGGTGAAAAAACTCTCATAATTTCCTAGAAAATTTTAAGAATTTTTCATAATTTTATTTATG